ATATATATATATTATAAACGATATTACAAGCCACACAAAAGCCCCGCTGAAAAAAGCCATTTAGCGCCCGAGATGGCCAACTCTTGTGTGTGTTACCTATATAATGTAATATTGTATATATATATATACCTACCATTGCACGCGCGCTCACGTCACAATCAATGATGAGTATCCATACGTTACTATATGTATGTACATGTATAGAGGTTGGAGCGATGATACGTGTAAATGAAAGACGGGCAGGCAGAGAGCGGTTGAACCTTTTTGGAGAGAAAAAATCGTGAGTAAGAGGCGACAATGGGAAGCACGAGGGAGAGAGAGCGTTTCTTCTTAGTTTCTTCTTGTTGGACCGAGTGATATTGTACACAGGTTGCGGGGGGTGGAACAATGGGAAGCGCGCGTCGCGAGAGACGGTTGCCGGGATAAATTATTGTCACGGAGGAGCACGTGTGCGAGGCACGCTTTTTCCTAAGATTGGCTGGCACGGATAAAGGTGTACTCGTGAGTATTTTTTTTTTTTCCTTTTTTTAGGGAAAGGGGCTGAAGAAGAGGAAATGTGAGGGAGGAGGTGCACATCGTGTATACATGTATATAGGTAGTTTTTTACTTTTGGGTGGAGGGTGATTACCTTTTCGGGGACCATCTTCAATCGTTCGTGTGCTGGGACATTTAGTTTTTTTTCTCAACTGATTTGTTTTGGACGGTTGTAAGCCGATCGCTTTTCTTCCAAGCGTATTATGCACCGAGTAAAAAAAAAAAAAAAGTTACAATAATCACTGTAACAAAATGATTATTCAGCGTTACTCCATCTCTATCAACATCTTTACAATATTTATTGTCACTTGTACAATATCGTACAATGAATTTTATTCTCATTTGCCACCAGTTATATGTTCATATTAAGGTATGTATTATAAATATGTTCATTTATGACCCAAACAATGGGAATAATACCAGATTATCTGCAATCCAGCGCAGTATAGTTAAACATTTTTTTTTTTTTTTTTTTTTTCAGTATAAAAAGTACTAAATCGAATGGCATAAAAATCTTCCTCCCAAGTGTTTGTCTTACGATGCATGTGCGGGGGATGAAAACATTTCAGCTATATAAAAATATACATTTCAAAAATTTTATATTTCATTGCTGCTATTAATTATAAAAAAAAACAAACCATTTTTAATAATAGTACAATTAACCACACTGTATTGCTATTCAAACTAATATTTATCGAATGTTCATTCAATGTAAGCTTCCGCCAACGCAATCTATCTAATTTTATTCAACATAATATTAAATCTACCATTCCCTTACTAATAAAACGTTTCATTCAATGTTGTGGTTGATGAACCAATCACATATTTTTTAAAATTCAGTTAATTATATTGAACAAAGAAAATTTCTTTGGCTTCGTGAAATGTTTTGCATCCAACTAAACACCATACTTACTCTTGGGCACGAACCAGTCGAGAAAATTGTCCTTCGGCGTGCTGTCGTCGTCGAAAATCGATGAGTCCGAAATACTGTCGTCCTCCGTCACGGGTTCCGGAGACGGTTTGTCCGTGACGCTGTTTGAAACATTGGACCGGCTCTTCATGTAGGACAAATAATTTTTCTTGAGCTCGTCTATCAAGGTGCGGTTGACGGGGGGACGATTACTCTGAGACGCGTACTGCTTTCCGCCGGACGGCGCGCTCTCTGGAATTTCAGGGTTATTATTTTCAATGGAGTGTAAAAAAAAAAAAAAAAGTACTATTAAAATACTTGAATCATTTTTTTTTCGAGTGTAGTAAAATTTATAATTGAAAATAATTCTGACTTTAAAACAAAATTTTTTTCGCAATAGTGTGCGGAAAATGGGTGTTTTCCGCACTGGTATTAGTGTGGAAAATCGATTTTTCTGCCCTCGGGTGGTTTTGGGAGGCTGGTACTTCCTCGGGCAAAAAAGCAGTTTTCCGATACTCGTTCGAAAAGTCTCCTTTACGAACCTCGTTACGTCCCTCGCCTTCGGCTCGGGCCGCAAACCTCACGGTTCGCAAACANTTTCAGTATAAAAAGTACTAAATCGAATGGCATAAAAATCTTCCTCCCAAGTGTTTGTCTTACGATGCATGTGCGGGGGATGAAAACAAATAAAAAGGAGGTGTAAATGCATTAGGCGTAAGATATACAACATTCACAGTGCTTATCTATATTGAATCGACAATTTGTCCGCGGCCGAGCCCCTCAAGCGTGTGTTTGACGTACAACCGTGAGCGGTAAAGAAAGCCGCGGCGATTCCCAAAGAATCACCCAAAAGCTGGATCGCATCTTCGGTAGCCGCGCAAGAGGACAACCCGACGTCAGCTATTCCATACAAGGGAAGGTGGATACGAGAGGACTCGTCGACTCTCCCGGCCCACTTTGCGACACCATCTGGCGTGTGTACCTCCCTTTACACACACGCGCGTATAAGGGCGGCACACCTATCAAGAGGTGCACTCGCGTGGAAATCGGCTTTATAATAATAATGTATATGTATATATACGTGTGCGCGCGCGTGATTAATGGGCCGCAATGAAGAAAACGCGCTGGTGAATGACTATGTGTGCGTGTGCGTGTGAAGGTGAAAGTAAAACCGCGGAGTTGGCTGCATTGTCATATTATGTGATGCGGAGTCAAGCGGGTACACTAGCTTTTCCCGGATTTTGGCTGTTGTACGATGTGCTTAACTACATCTCCGAGGGAGCGGGAGGGGGGATCCTTTTTTCCGGGGTGTACGAGGCATTTTTTTTTTTTCCATTCAAAGGGAGGATATGGCTTTTTTTTTCAAGAGGGTGATGTTTAATAATTTTTTTTTTTTTTTCGAGGGGCTCTTTTCCACGCAAGTGGAGCGCTTATGTTTTCGTATAGAGGTACGGGGGCCCTTTTTTTTTCTAGAAACCACGCGATGTCGGTTTGGAGGTTTTTTTTATTCCCTTTGTGCGAAGGATACGCGGCTAATGACGCGTAATCGATTTTTAGAGGAGCCAGCAGTTTTTCTCTTTCGTACGTTATTTCATGGATCATCTTGTTTTGTTTTGTCTTTGGTGATTGTAAGAAATCCATGATCGAAACGACTCGGCTGCGGAAATGTATTTTAGGTATCAAAGCCCAAAATGGAGTTTTTCCAACCTCATGGCCGTATGTGTACGTGGAAAGAATCAAACGCAACAGCCGCTCGTGGCAAACACGCACACCTGCGAAACAACAGGGATCGTGCGAGTATGGAGGAACAAAGGGGCTGGTACACCTCCCGTTGATTGTTCGACCGATGCGTCTATCTTTTCGCGGAAAAACACGGCCAAACGCCGGACAGCGTCTCTCAAAGGGTTGGCCCGGTTTCCTCGGGGGACGTGACTCGCCGGATTCGCGGGGAACGACTTTCGGGAAACTTTTCCCTGTGTTCCGCACCCTCTGTTGTATCGGCTCGAGGGTCAAAGTACCAAGAAAATTTCGAGCGAAGGGTACGTGGTTTCTCCTATCAAACGTCAATGGTTAATCTCGTTCAAATCGTTTATTGAACAAAAAAAACAAAAAAAAAAAAACGAAAAAAGTGCCAAACCTTGCCCACGAATCTTCTTTTTTCAAATACAGAAGCGTGCAACTCTTTGAAGGATCCAGTGTGCGGGTGTACCTTTCAGCCCCCGAGACCAGGAGAACGGAATCGATTATCGCGTAACAGCCTCGGTCCACGGGTGCATTTACACCTCGCACACATCCCCTCGCGTTGAACCGATCGCCCCACCAACTCAAACAAAAAAAAGAGAAGTAGGAGACGAAAAATAAGAAACGAGGAAGAAATGAAGAGGGCCGGCCTTTGTGTCACAAGTGCGCGGGCTAATGCGCCGAGTGTGTATTTGGACGCGGCGCGTTGGCACCGTATCGGCGTGTACGTAGCGCATCCCTCCTAGCTTTTAATAAGAGAAAAGAGATGAGAGGACTAAAAAGGAGGAGAAAAAGAAAAAAAAATGAAAATAAAGCAGTTCAAGCTCGGAAGCACTCGAATGTTGCACGCAACGGAAGGGGGGGGGGGACCACCACCGACGACGTCAGAGGTTTCCCGCCACTAATGAAAACGTCGATTAGCCACGCGGGGCACACCTATGCATTCATATATGTATTATATACATGGACATTACAAGAGGGGCCACCCTTGATGCTGTTACCCACATATTATATGTATGTACAAACGCGAGCACAATGTAAAAAAGATTGGTAGCCGAAGGATCCGGCAAATCGGTATTTCACGCCTGCTCCCATTAAAAACTCCCATCGCGATGAATGTATGCTACATCCCGTGGAGCTTTTAGCCCCGTCTAGCTTTTGTGAGGCCTGTATAGCTGGTTTGATGTCTTATGCATGAATATACATATACGAAGCGAATGATGGAATTTGCCGATTCTATCGGTAGATCGGTCGTCACTATTCCGTTACCGATCTCGGCATCTTCGTGGCTGTGCAATCGTCACGAGTGGAAGACGCACGAAAAGCAGGGAAAAAAAAAAAAAAAAATCGTCAAGCCATCCGCGTCAAGACCTCGTCTCGAATGAGCGACAAATAGTAATCCCACGTCCGCCCGATCGTCCTAGACTCCGAGTCGCCACTCGAGTCCCTCCCTCCTGCTCCAGGCCCCCTGCCGAGGTAAATTTGACTCGAGCCAAACAAACACGGGCGCGCTCTTGCTCTCTTTTTCGCCGTACACAATACACACACACACACACACGAATAAGCCCGGCGACTTTTGAAGCGAGCCGCCCCATTGTCGTATATCCGCAGTTCGCCGTCGCGCAAAAGACGAGGCGACACCGTCCCGCCTCCCCCTCGTCCATCTCCCTCTCTTCCGTTCATTGTCACGATAGGCCATCGCACGGCAGACGTGTACCCATATCAAGGGCCAAAAAGTGAAGAGCGTATATACGTGGATCCTCATTGTGCCCCGACACAAGGGGTGTGGACTAATTCAAGCAGCCGAGAGATGTGCACCGTGTGCATGGGGGGATGATCGCGTGCTCTCGTTTCTCTTTTACTCAGCCAGAAGTGGATATGTAGGTACACACTTGAAAGTCGAGTGACTTTGGTTTACGGTGGGACTTGTGTATTTAGCGTGTTTATATATTATATACATACACCTAGTTTGGCCCGTCTAAATAGCCGATGGGAATAATGGACGACTCGTTTATGGTCTATGCCTACCTTTTAGGCTTCCGTAAGTGTGACTTTTTTTTCTTCTCTCTCCTTCTTTCTTTTATTCCTAAGGAGGGAGGAGTATTACGCTGAGCACAAATATATACATCACGGCTTCGCAGTAACAGCTTCTTTGGCTGACTGTGCATGGGCTTTAATGTTGGCGATTAATTTTCTTTTTTGGCTGCTGGGGGTGGGTTGGGTGCTTCAGAATTTTTTTCTTTCTTTTTTTTTTTTTTTTTTCAAATTGAAAATTTTTTGAAAGCAAGAGTTGGAGGGTTATACGAGGATTTTCTGCTGTTCAGCGGAATTTGTTCATTAAAAACCGATTTTTTTTGTTATCGGTTCACAAACTAAATGAAATGTTTTTTAAACTATTTTATGTTGGAGTAAAAAGATTGCATGGCAAAGATTAATAATTTAATCAAAATATTGTAGGTGAAGAATCAAAAAACCTACGTTAAAATTGTTACAATACCACTACTTTAATTCGTTTAATGATTTTAATGGTAAACCTTGATATTTTTTGATACAAAAATGTGATTTGTTTGTTTCTCCCTCTCTACAATTTTCGTAGTACAAAAATGTTTTATCCAATATAAGAGGAAATCATCAGGAGAAAGTCGAGTACTCGACATTGTGATACTTGAAAGCTACATAAATTACACAACTAATTTTTCAATGGATAGCAAAAATTCCAGCTATATTTAATTACATTCTAGTAAACGAAGCAATAAATTTTGTACATGAATAACTAATACCTTAAACGATTGACATGGAAAAAGAAGTGCTGAGATTCACCACGTATCCCAACCGATCAAAAAGTACGATTTGATGTTTCCTCGAAGATTCCAACGGTTAAAAATCCCGATGAAAAAAAAAAAAAAAAATCACAACAAAGAGCAACTACAATTTTTCAAGATTAACCATAAACACGAGAATTTCAGAGCTCATAAAGCCACGCGCAAGTGTACCGCCTTCGTTTCAAGTGTTGCCGAAAAAAGAGGTGTGCTCTCCTCCGTGAAAGGCACACAAGGGAAAAAAAAGGGCGTCGGCGGGCGCTCGAGTGATGATCATCTCTCTCTCACGCGCGCGCGCCAGAAAGAGACGTCAATGCACCTATACACGTATATTTGTTTGTACACAGGTATAACAAGAACGAAATTTTCGTGACGTTTTTCCGAGACTCGAGGGGGTCTCTATAGGACACGACGAGCGCTAATCGTGACACCGGGATGTCAGCACTTTCCTTCTCCCCCTATACGCATACACTTTACATAAATACACTGTATAAGCTCTCTGTGTTTTCTCGTTTCTTCCTTTGCATGTACAATGTAAGGGCACGTCGGCATCTTTTTCGACAATCCGGTATAACAATCGAGAGTACGTATACCGATTTTCTTCACGCGGGTAAAATTTGTGGATTAATTATGATTCTACCTGGAATTTGCGGGCGCTTGGGACTATTGGGATTCTCTTTTCATGTAGGGAATCTTGGAAGGATGACAAGTGCAGTGTACAATACGTACGCTACGGAGAGCTATGCATAATGAGGGTGGGAGTCGGATCGATCGGTATGGGCGTTTGATTTTCTGGAAACCGGATGTGAGTAAAATTTTTGTCTAAAACCAAGTGCTCTGAAAAACCTATGTATATACTGTTAATTCAAGTATGTTGAAGTATCTAGGGGTGCGTAGGTAAAATGGCCCTTTTTTATATATACGTAAAACGCATTGTGGTTGTCTTGATGATACCAACTGTTTGATCAGTTCTAACGAACTGAGCGCTTTTGAACGGGAAAAATCTCAATATCAAAAAAAATTTTGTCCAGCGAAAGAATTAGTTGTTTGATTCAATAGTTTACGAAGCATCGATTTGGTTTTTTTCCTAAAACGTTCATCAACCATCAACACTACGTTGTTTCAGGCATTTTGTAAAAAAATAAAACAGGAATCTCAAGCATACACGCTTTAAACGTCATTACAGTGACATGTACGGCGTATGACCATTTTGGGACGAAAGCAATGTCCTGACAATTCGCAAAGTTTAACATCGAAGCCGACGGGGTAGAAGGAAAATAATCCCATCGTGTATTGTGTGCTTTCATTACAAAACAAATACACACACGTGTGGAGGATAATGTATGGTTGTTGTACCGGCACACGCACACCTGACGCAGCAGCAAAGTGCTCGCCAACCGCGCCGTAAACATATCATCAAACGAGAGGCCCGATTTCCCCGAACAAACGAGCGTACATGGACATTGACAAGCGTGAAAATCGGCCAAATTATGAAAACACACTCGCATGATATTCCGTATACTATATACATAGGTGTAAAGTGAACCACGGGAGACGGGAGAGAAAAAAATTGTACTTTCGTACCTCCTGTGGCAAAAGAGAGGAGGGTGGTGCGGTTTCAGCGAATCGAGGGCTTGATATTGCCGTGACGAGGCGTGGCATATGTGTGTATATGCGCTGCCGCTCCGTCGCGCGCGAGGGGGTCCATTGTCATCCCCACGGAGGACGGAAGAATAAGGGACGACGCGCTCCCGTTTGATCTTTTTGCGGCGCGCGATTGTGGATTTTTAATCGAATCCGCGGAGGGACTTGGGGGCCGGGAATGGCTTTTCTTCTTATCCTTCATGGTTTTTTAGGGTATACGGGCAATAAAAATGTTTCAACTTTTTTTTGTACACATTGTTCGATGGTATACATACTTTGGAAATGGCGTTTGAAACAAGTGGGTGACTCGTGGAGATTTTAAGAATTTGACGTACGTGTTGGTTAATTTAACTGTTTTACTCTGCAAGGCCTGTTTCGCTTTGTGAATTATTTTAAGCGTAAGTAATCCAAATGTCACTCTTTAATGACAAACGCAAATGGAGAATGCAAAAAACGATTGTGTTCGTGTAAACAGTGACACACTTGGAATTTTCATCAATTAAGTTCTTAAAGGTGGTGTGAACAAAGTCTCGAAAAATTAAAATCGAGCGATAATAAAAAATGGGATTACGATGTCTTATCGAATTTTTCCAATTGATTCATATGAGCAGGTAGTAGGCACATTGTGGACAATGTTGGCATCAAAACATTTAATGTCGAATTTGAAAATATTTTTGTGGTATTAAAAAATATGACTTTTCTTACTTCCTTAAAGGAAAACAATCATTCTTACTGGCACTTTGGTGTTTACACAGTGAACAGTCCTTGTAATAATAAATAATCGATAACGCTCAAGATTGAAAAATGAAATTTTTCTTCTTTAAAACGTTGAGGGGGAACGTTGAATTGAGAGGAAAAATGTATTTATCATCGATTACTGCACTGTTTTGTTGGTATAATTTTATTTATAAGAGATGAATTGTGATAAACCTATGCAACGATACCAATGCCTTGCAAAAAATATTCTCCTGATGCTTAACTAATTCAATGGTTACCATTGAATTATTGATAATATGAATGATCGAAAGATATATTTGAACTTTTTTGTTAAACAACAAAATTTTTACTTACATATAACAAATTTTAATGAAATAAAAATTGGTTTCATTTTTAAGCAGCACATTCTTACAACTAATCAATTTAACTGGATGACGAAATCATTAGTTACAACATACAGAGTATAAAATAGTAGCACATTCAATATTATGTTGGCCGAATTTATGTAGCAATTTTATTACGAATTCGTTTCAGTCAATTAGTTGAAAAATTACTGTATAATTAAATAAAATCATCAAGTATTTCCCTTCTACATGAAATTAAAATAACTTCACATTCTTATGCTGTAGTTGGATGTTCTTTTTTTTTTGATGAGTGTATTTTGATATGGCTTTCGATTTCAGCTGAGCTAAAGAATTTTGCATTACAGATTTTACATATATACTCATCAGCAGAAACTGCTGGTAATGTCGTTTTAACTTTGGGTTTTTCATTTTTATTTATGGAAGCATTGGACTCTTGTTTATGAATTAAAATATGTTTCCTGAAAAAAAAAATACTTTATAGAAAAAGTGAACGGTTATAAATTTCATTGAATGAAAAATAATAAGTACCTGTAGGTAATGTCATTTTTGAATGTTATATTACAATCTTTACAATTGTAAGTCTTGTTTTCGATTTTCACTGGATTTAATATATGCGAGTGCTGACTAAGTACTTCGTGATTCACAAACAGTAAATTGCAAACATGACACTTAAATGGTAATTCCAGTGAATCACTTTGATGTATTTTGTAGTGTTTACCATGTGATTTTCTAGATGTGAATTCCATCTTGCAAACATTACATGAAAAATGTTCTTTCAGATGATCGTATAAGGCTGTGGGAGCCATAAATACTTGTTTGCAGACCAAACACTGATTATAGGCGGGTAAATCTTGCCTGTCCTTTAAGTCAACCAGCTGTCCCAAAGACTCAACAATTTCGCTTGTAATGCAAGGAGAAACGAAACTAATTTTAATTTTATCATTATATTTTTTGGATTTAGGACCTGGTTTGAGAATGATTTTGTCAATTTGTACAGTTAAGCGATAAGGCTTAATTTTTTTTGTGGACGTTTCTTTATCAGCACTACTCTCATTTTTCTTTGTTAGAGTCTGAAAGAAAAAATTTTTAACGTTAATTCAGTGATTGCAACTTAATAAGATTAAACTCAACTCATAATACTTTGATATGATTTTACATTATTTAAAGCACTGTCACTTTTTGTTTTCTTTGTTGGAGGTTCATCGTAGGCAGATGAAAATTTGGTATTCACAGGTGGTTTTTTAGTAGCTAAAATTTAAAGCATATTTTAAATTTTTAACAGTTGTACAATAGTTATTTTCACTATTTTTAATACTTACTGCTGTATCTAGGAACAGAATTAGGCTTCATCTGATTGTCATCATCGAAACAACTTTTATCAAAATGCAGTTCACATAGTACTTTCTTAGCATCTGTGCTACCACCGTTTTTTCCATAACTTGTTTTGAGTAATTTTGCCCAGGCATCTCTTAAGCTAGATATAGAAAAATTGGACTTTAACATCACGGAGGCAAAACATTTTTTCGTTATTTATAAATAACATTAGTAGGTGATTCAAAAGACAACAAGAATTAGTAAAAAATCAATGCCTATTTCTAAATTATTGTATTAATTGTTGTTGAAAGAGTTGGAGTGTTTAAGATGACCCTTTTAGGTTAGAGCGTCAATTACAAATTCGATGTATATTAATATGAAAATAAATAAAAAGATTTTGATACTCTGAATAATTAGACGTATAGATAAAACTTACATTTTTTCAGACGGAAGTTCGAAAAATCTTATCCTTCTGCCATCAATTTTCGTATTATCGGTGGACGTGCAAAATTTTCCCGCACAGGTAAGCGTCATGGTTTTACGCGTTACTCTCTATAATCTTAAGATGGAGTTAAGACATTAAACTCGAATACGCAAGATGTTATACACTTGACTATTTGATATTACTACAATACTATTTCACGTTTGTAATTATAATAATAAATATAAAAGCGGCTTTTGACACAACTACGCGGCAAAGCTCCTGACTTTTGCCTTTTTCTACTGCCTCTCCGAGATGATGAAAAATGTTGATAAGGAAGTACACACATTTATCGGCAGTGCAGTTCGCGTAAGCGCGAATCGCGCTTCGCCTCGCGCTTTTTTGGGCGTATGCGCAGTTCAAGCTTCAATTTTTGGTGGCAAATTCAAATTTACACTTGACGTAATGTACATTTCATCAAAAGTTTTTAGCACTCTTGAAACAAGTATTTATTAAAATAAACGTACAAAGATAAATTCAACAAAATGCAGAAATGTAGCGTGCAACAATCAATAAATAAATTTTCACCATTTTTTTTAATTTTTGGTAGTCCTAATCAGCTTTTTACCACGTAGGGATTGAAAAAAAGTTGTTCGTGAATAATCGTCATTCAATGGTATCGTAAAAATATTCATAAGATTAAAAACAGCAATGTTCAAGAGATGAAAGAACGAAATTAATGTGCATTGTATAAATGTTTATGCGTGTATGTAATTAAGGAAGAAATCAATAAACACAAAAGTTTCTTTTTACGCTGAATGTTAAGGTATATTTTTTTTCGTGACTATTAATGCAATCAACGTAAAAATCGGCAAAAATATTAATGACGCATAAAGCACCTCCACGCATAGGCGATACATTGTTACTGTAAACAAATTTTAATTTTTTTTTACCATGTGTTACAAAAACACGAAAAAGCGTCATATTTATGATTCATTTACTGTTTTACCAGCTGTTTAAAACCAAACGACCAACAACAAAACAATACAGACGTGTAATTTGCAGATGTGTTTGTAAATTAAATGGGTCATTTCTCAAATTCTCATTCAAGTTTACAAATTAAAAATGTTTTGTAAGCTTATGAAAATTTAAATAAACAAAATAAAAAATGGTATTAAAACTACAGAATCAATATAAATATTATCAAAAAGGCATCAGCCGACTATATTAGCTTTAGCGAAGTACGATACAACATGACTAAGTGCTTTTGCCATCGGATCACTTGACTCTTCTCTGTTGGAAAAAAAAAAAAAAAAGTAGCCAGTAGACGGTACATAACGACGTGCCACAATTGCCTGGCGTAAAAGTGTACAAAGGCACATGTGTGTTATTAAAACGTAGACTAACAACGCTGCGCGTTTTTTTTTTTTTTTTTTTTTTCATTGAAGCTGACGAGTTGGCACAAAAAAATTGCACTATGTGAACTGTATAAGGCGACGCGATATCTTTGACGCGACCTTCTTTTGGATTAATTGGTGGTGATGATTGATCCGCGTAACTCTCATTGTCATGCTCATTGATGGATAACGCGTGGTTTTCTCGGATTGCCGTTGATTTGTTTTGCAGGACACATTGCACTTGCGCGATTTTTGTGAACGATAGCATTTACCGATTTCTCAGATAATATCCGCGGCTTATCAATTAAATGATTTATCCATTTACGTATTGATTTTGCATTTTGTATTTAATTTTTATCCTCAATAAGCGAGTTACAAATATGTATTGGTATTTTTTTACTTATTCAAATTATGTTTTTTTCCAAGATGGAACAAAAAAATGTCGTTGATAAAGTTGCGATGAGTTCAGACTAGTGTGTCATTATCACATTACGATGCGTGATTGTGATATTGCAAATGAGTCGAGGAGAAAAAAAAAACAGTTCGATCTTTGTAGATTTGAAAATTTTCAAAACATTCATGTCAAGTTTATGTATAGAAGGGCGCCGTAAGGATGAAATTGTTTTTCTTTTGTATCAAGGATTATTAAAATAAATTGATGTGATGTAAAAAAAAAAAAAAAAAAATTGAAATTACGTAATAATCACCGTATCTTTGTCATTGAAAAAGATGAATGAAAAAAAAAAAAAAAAAAAAAAATGACGTAAAAAAATGTAATACGTATATGATAGTGTAAAGATGAAACGAAAAAACAAGCATCTTTATCAATAATTGTAAAAACAGTTCAAATTATAAACAAGTAGAAAATCCTGTAATTTTCATCTAAATAATCTTGACGCATGACAACGCACGATTTATTATTACATTGATTGCATTGTCAAAATTTGCTATGATGCTGTAAACAGTAATTGATGATATTTTTTTCATGACACCTGTTAATACTAGTAACAATGATTGTTTTCAAACAATCGTTTCGTTCCATTTGCCAACGGTTTAATAAAATTCTGGGAGTTCAGCTATACTCTATGGTAGTACATGCAAGAACTGGCGATTCTTTTAATCAAAGGGTATATACGAGAAAAGTACGCCAAGCAATTCACACGAACAAGCCGAGCAACGAGCTGATATATTCGAGAATTGATTTATGCTCATTGGAGTCGCAAGGCTCGCACATATACGCAACACGTATACACTCATTAACGACGGCTGGAGCCCACTTTCGCCAGGAAGAAGTAAGTACATGTAAATGCACGCGAGGCAAGAAAAAAATAAAATAAAATAAAACGATTTCAATTTTAATCGCCGCTTGTTGTTTTTTTATGCCACGCGATCAGTTTAATTTTTTAATCCCCGATCTTAGATATAATTTACGAAGCAGATTATGCATTGTAAAATTCTCTCCAAGTATCGACGAGTAATGATTTGATTGAAACAGATTTACAATCAACTCCTTCGTCAACAATCGGCCGATTTAATAACGTAATGCATGTAAAAATGCCACGAAACGCAAGTGCATCTACTACAAAAGCGACATACAATGATATACGTATACACCCAAGTACTTATTCTATCGTTGGCTAAATTATCGTTTTCTGATGCCTGCGTTACTCGTTCGCGCGTAACAGAGTGGCTCAAAAAAAGCAAGCTCGCTTCCGTCGAATGGTAAAAATATCGGACTGCAATGAATGCACTTTCGCGCGTATATGACACATATATATGCATGTGTATACGAGCGAGAGTAGCCCAATAAAAAAAAAGGTCTGGTGCTGTGTCTCTCTCTATATGCGCCCATTCGGCCACTACTACACTCATTTTCTGTGCATTAGCCGAGAAAAGGAGAAAGATAGAGGAAGAGCCGATATCTTTAGCGGCGCTCGGCCAAGCCGTTCTAGTAGCGTAGCTCGATTTACTCGAGGCGGACGCTTTTTCGTTTCATTTGCAAATTAATTTCAATCGACTTTTTTCTTTCGCCAACGTTTTTTATATTTACTTAGCGCTCGAAGTGGTGCACCCACCGGTTTGTTGGACACGCGTTTATTTTAACGGTAATATTTCGGGATCGCGTTGCTTCTGGTGAGACAAGGATCGGATGCGCTGGTTGTACATTTTCAATGTCTTTTCACCAGCGCAATCGCAAAGCTCCGTGCGCTCGATAGAAAAGTGCATGCTTAATTACGTAAACGAGGTGTGATAGTATTCTACTGCTCTCTTTACTTTTGTTTTGCTGTGGAAAAGTTGGACGTGAAAAGTTGAATTAAATATTCTCGATAGCCATTGAGTTCCAGTACCAGACGCATTTACCTTGGCTCGATCGCAATGTCAGTCAACTGCGACCACGAAGTTGGTCTTGAAAAATAGTGGGGGCTAATAAATCAAACGATTAATCATTTATTGTTACATTTGATAAGGAAAAAAAGGCATACGTTAAGAAAATTCGGGTGGACCGGAAAAACCGGTACAAATAATTGTTGTGAAAAGCATCAGCAGAAGAAGAAACACTCGTTCTTGACAATCACCGAGAGTGTGTGCTCCGCCTCATAGACAAATAATGAGCACGACGATCCAATCGCAGACAAGAAAGTGAAAAAAAAAAAAAAAAAAAAAAAAAAAGGAAGAAACAACACTGAACTATGAGTGCAGTCGATTAATCGCCGCAAATAAGAGTGCCGCATTGTTGCTGCAAGTGTATACAGAAATAAAAGCAGCGCGCGATGGATAGTACCAAGAAGTACGAGAATCCGAGTCCCAGGCTCGATGCCGGTCGTTTCAACAAATTGTTTTTTTGGTGAGTTTTGCTTGTTATTACAATCACTCGAGCGGATGCGTACACGAATAATTTTGCACTATTTGCCGTCCATTTCTTTTTTTAAAACAATAAAATTGCGCGATAGCAATGTTATGCGCGATAACAGTGTTGCGGTTTCCTTTATTTTTTTTTTAAACGGTGTGACCTATGATAAGAAGAGATAATAATTGTGTTTTATAACTTGCATGTTTCTTATCACACGTGATCGTCATGCCTACTTTGCAAAGGCCTTCGAAACGCTGGAAAATCGGCAGAATTACATGTTCAAGTCAACTAGAAAGAACAGAAATAGAATCGTGGATAATGAGGAAAAACCACGAGTTATATACATCGTTCTTCGCCGGAGCAAATGATTTATTTGAGAAAAATGCTTTGCGAGATGCCTACTTGTGTGTACACGCTGTCGGAAAAACGATCCTTTTTTTTCGTTTTTTCTTTTTCCAACAAAGTCAGAACGCGGCAGTTACATAGTTTAGGTACACAATTTTTTTTTTTGTACTCGATCATCACAAAAAAAGTTACAATATTCTTATCGCTTCAGTTTTCTGCAACACTTAGTGACATTTATCACCTTTCACATTGTATAACTAATTAATTTCAAGTAAATTCATGTTGTTAAATCATTAATGAATATTATTACATAATTAAGTAATAAATCGTTTTACAACATTTTAATAGTATACAACATAACATTACAAAAATAGTCACCAGTATTGAATAAATAAAAACCAACAACAATTGAAATACTTGGATTCTAGGACTAATTATTAATAAACTAATTTTCTACAAAGATTATTAGTAAGTCTGTAAGGTAATAGTATTATTAAAATGAACAATCCTCCTTTTTTTTTTTTTTTTAATTCGAATCGTATTTTTTTGAACCAATGAATGATGTTAAAAAACGTTGAAATCAAATTAAATATTGTACTTGGTATTTTTAAAAATAATCTTTGAACAAAAAACTAATGACCGTAGACCTGGACTGCCAATGAAAAGTAATGAAACAATACAATACTATTATGAAAAAATAAGAAGAGATAAAAAAAAGAAGACGTACGATTGCCGTACTCCACGTTTAAGCGTAATATTTCTAGTACGCGCGTTTCGAATAACATCGAGTCGGCATTGGGAAGTAACCGTGAAAATTTTATGATCGCGTTTGAGTAACTGTTGTTCCCTTGCAGTTGGCTTGTGCCGTTTTTTCGTTACGGCCGCAAAAATGAAGTCGAGCCCAAGAACATCCACAACGTTCTGCCACGTGACCGCAGCGAGACCCTCGGCAATCAATTGGAAAGGTAAAAAATAATATTTGTACGAAGCGTCGAAAATTACGTTGAAAAAAAATTTCCCGTCTCCTTCAGGAATTGGTCGAAAGAAGTAATCAGCGCCGAAAAGGGCAAACGCAAGCCCCGCTTCCAGCGAGCCGTTCTCAAGACCTACGGACTCGAGTACATGAAACTTGGACTGTACACGCTCTTCCTAGCTCTAGTCGTGAAGTAAGGAAACAATGGACACATTTTTAATTCGTGACGGGGGGGAGGGAGGAGGAAAAACTCATCCATCCACTCGCTCCATCTTTTTTTTTTTCACGCTTTGTATATAATTTCACGATGACATCATGTCGTATACGTATGGGGGCCTATTGAAGCACTTATTCCGTGTTATCTCCCAGGACTTTGCAACCCGTGGCTTTGGGCTTGCTCATCGGGCACTTCTCGCCCAACGCCACGTCCACGACCAACGAGGCCGTTGCTTACGCCACCGGCGTTGTTCTCCTGACTTTTTTGGAATCCGTCATCTTTTGTCACGTCACTTACCAGTGCCGCGAGCTCGGCATGCAGTTGCGCGTCTCGGCGTCGTCGCTCATTTACAGAAAAGTACGAGGCGGGTTTGTTGACACAATTTTTTTTTTCTTTTTTTTTCTTTTTTCTTTTTTCAATATAAATGGTACCTTTTTACACGGGGCCGTTGGTGTTTTCAGATTTAACAGCCAACGTGGTATTATTTTCAGGCGATGCGGCTGTCGTGCGGGTCAGCGATGATAGCCAAAAATGGACTGATGATAAATCTTTTGTCCAACGATGTGGTGAGGTTTGAAAACTTTTTCATATTTTGCCACTATCTGTGGGTAACGCCGTTGCAAATGCTCGTCATCGGCTACCTCATCTGGAGGAGCGTCGGCGTAGCTGCATTTCCTGGAGTCCTTTTCATGGTTCTGCAGACCATACCGTTTCAGGGTATACTTTATTTTTTCTTTTTCCTTCCATTATTTAATACAGTCAGAGATTGGGCACAAATAGTGTGGCCAGGCCACTTTGTTGCCATATTATTTTTTTCCTTTTTATTTTCTGAACGCGTTAAAAAAAAAAAAAAATAAAAAAAAATTGAGTTTTAATGTGACACAAACGTAATTCAGAATGTTTATAGTTTTTCGCTTGTACTCCGTCTCTTTCACGCTAAAATTCATAAAACATAAAAAAAAATATTGATAAAACAAAATAGCGTTTTGCTTGAACTTAAAAAATGTATCTTGTTTCGACGATTATTTCGAAAAGCCAGACAAGACGTGTTAACATTGAAGGTACTTTTCAGTGTACTTTGGCAAAGTGATACACGGTCTGCGGGGAAAAGTCGCGGTGAGGACCGACAAACGAGTACTGCTGATGAACGAGATAATCAACGGCATTCGCGTCATCAAAATGTACACTTGGGAGCCAGTCTTTCAGCAGCTCGTCTATTTCGCCAGAAGGTAACTATATAACGTATAATTTTAAAGACAACTAATGGCATATTGTCAGAAATAAAAAATGAATTTCGTTGTTTCCCTGAAGGAACGAGCTGAAGGTCATTGCGATAGCCAATTACTTGAAAGGCGTGACTTGGGCGTCGCTTGCCTACGCCCAGCGAGCAGCCCTGTTTGTCACGATTCTCGTGTACACCTTACAAGACAACGTCGTCACAGCCGAGAAGGTCTTCATGGTATCCCAGTTTTACATCGGGCTGCAGGTATCGATGGCGGTCTTGTTCCCACGTGGCTTGCACTTTTACGCCGAGGCCAAAGTCTCGCTGAATCGCGTCCAAGTAAATCCCAGTTGTACATGTATTAAGTACATACACTAATCTCAAATTTTGCCCAGTGTTGATGTATCGATTGACCTCTCTGTCGCAGAACTTTTTGCTGCTGCGAGAAATCGGCGCGAGTAAAAAATCCCCGATGAAGAACGAGCCCAACACCAGCGTTTCCGTGGAGAAGGTGAACGCGTCTTGGCTGGACAACGCGATCGTCAATACCCTGTACGACATAAACGTCGTCATCCCGAACAAGAGCCTGTACGCGGTGGTCGGTTCCGTCGGCGCTGGCAAGGTAAGCCAAAAAATTCGGCCGAAATCACGTCGAAATCTACATAATATATGCAATAAACAGAGAAACGAGGAAGAAGAAGAAAAAAAAAACGAAAAAAAAAGAAGGGCAGCCAAAGACGACGCGCGCGGCTGCCGATGTTTTTTTCCCCTTTCAGTTGATCCGCAATCGTTTGGTCCCCCTTGTTTTTCTAGAGCTCTTTTCTAAAATTGATCCTAGGCGAGCTGCGGCCCAGCCAAGGCCAGGTCACCGTCGGCACTCGTCTGTCGTACGCCAGCCAAGAGCCTTGGCTGTTCGCCGGCTCCGTGCGCAACAACATACTATTCGGCGAGCCGTACGCCGAGGACAAGTACAACCGCGTGGCTCGGGCCTGCTGTTTGCTCGAGGATTTCGAGCAGCTGCCACACGGGGACAGGACCCTGGTGGGTGACAAGGGATCCTCCTTGAGCGGCGGCCAGTGCGCCAGGGTCAGTTTGGCACGGTAAAAATCAACAACGACAACATACGTGTACACACATTCGTTAGCCATGCAGGGACAATTATTATGGCATTCGGTTTGTTTTCCAGAGCTGTCTACAGAGATGCGGATGTTTACCTGTTGGACGATCCGCTGTCGGCTGTCGATACGCGAGTCGGCAAGCGTCTCTTCCAGGATTGCATCAATGGTTACCTCAAGGACAAGACGCGCGTCCTGGTGACGCACCAAGTGCAGTTCCTGAAGGAAGCCGATGCCATTGTCTTTCTCGAGAAGGTAAAACTAACGCACGAAATTTTATAACTAAAAAAAATAGAAGTGCCTAAGTTTATTCGAAAAGCCAAACATCGTGTTGCGCGTTTGATAGTCGAATGGTGATGCTACCAGGTGTACGTTTTTTTCTGAAACAAATCATAAATGTATTGCGTAGGGCAAAGTGGAATTCCAAGGGAGTTTCGAAGACTTTAAGAGCCACGGTGAATGCTTCCAACATTTGGAAAAAGACGAGTCACCGGAAAAAACGCTGGTGGAAGATGTGGCGCGGAAAGAAGATGACGAGGGTCCTCTGGAAATGGCAATTCCCAGCGAAGAGGATAACCAAGAGGAGCCGAGAGAAGTCCAAGAGCTTGTGGCCAAGGGAAACGTTTCCACGTCCCTCTACTGGAAATATTTCAAGGCAAACGGCTCTCACTGCTTGCTACTCGTGTTTCTGATCTCTTATGTGATTGCTCAAGTGATTTGCAGCGGCAGTGATTACTGGATCGCTTATTGGTAAGATATGGCAATTTTCTCCGATGATAAAAAAAAAAGCGATTGTGGAGTTTTATTCACGTAAAGTATATGATCTTTGATATTTGTTTCGCAGGATTCGAAAGGAAGAGACTCGCATGAGTAGCTACGCGATGAAAGAAAATGACAACAGCAATGGGACATCGTGGGTGACGGAGCCAGACCCCGGTATAGACAAGGACTTTGCACTTTACGTGTACGGTATTTTGGTTTTTGGAAGTGTAGTAATGGCAACTGGCAAGAATATATTATTCCTCAAGATTTGCAAGAATGCGAGTTTCAACATACATAACTTGATGATCAACTGCGTATTGAAAGCTCCCATGAGATTTTTCGATGCCAACTCATCCGGCAGAATTCTCAATCGCTTCTCCAAGGACCTCGGCGCTGTGGATGAAATTTTGTCGATGGCCATGCTCGAGTCTCTCCAGATACTCTCCACCACGATAGGCATCGCCGTTCAAATACTCATCATCAACTGGTGGTTGATTTTTCCAATGATCGTGGTGATGATGGCTCTGTTGTACATAAGAAACGTCTACCTAGCAACTGCCCAAAAAATCAAGAGATTGGAAGGAAATGGTAAGGATACGAAAAAGAAAAAAAAAAAAAAAAAAAAAAATCATCTCCCTCATGTATATAAATGGTTTTTCAGCGAAAAGTCCCGTTTTGTCACACGCAAATTCATCTCTGTCGGGTCTATTGACCATTCGATCGTGTCGAGCCGAAGCAATGGTCTGCAAGGAGTTCGACAGCTTTCAAGATGGCCACACGTCCACGTATGCCCTGGTACTGTCCACCATGACGGCCTTTGGATTTTGGATCGACTTGGTGTCGGTGACGTTTGTCACCATCGTCACGTTCAGCTTCATCTTTTACGACAACCAAAGCATCTCCGGATCTCGGGTCGGCTTGGCCATAACTCAAGTTCTGGCTGTGACAGGCTTGCTGCAGCACGGCATGAAAATGGCCGCGGAAATGGTAACGCAGATGATAGGTGTCGAGAGGCTGTTCCAGTTTACCAAGCTCGAGCAAGAGGGACCGTTTGAAAGCGAGCCCGGAAAGGAGCCTTCCAAGGAGTGGCCAGACAAGGGAGAAGTCGTGTTTGATCATCTGTACCTCAGATACGCCGACACCGTTGAACCTGTTTTGAAGAATCTCCACTTCAGCGTGGAGCCGGGGATGAAGGTACGTAATATCTCGAGAGCTACATGTTTTCGTTCCGTGTGGGCAATCGCTCGGTGCGAGTAAGCCAAAAGTACAATCATATAATTATATACACATTGCAGGTGGGAGTAGTTGGCCGTACAGGTGCGGGTAAGTCGTCGTTGATTTCGGCTCTTTTCCATCTCGCCAAAGTGGAAGGTAAACTGTACATCGATGAGGTCGACACCAACAGGATTGGGTTGCGCGAGTTACGCAGCAAACTGTCCATCATACCCCAAGAGCCAATGTTATTTTCGGCCTCGCTCAGAGATAATCTCGATCCTTTCCACGAGTTCGATGACGCCGAGTTGTGGTTGGCACTGGAAAATGTCGAGCTCAACAAGGCTTTCTCTTCCCTTGACCAATTGGTCGAGCAAGGCGGCAGTAACTTGAGCGCGGGCCAAAGGCAACTGTTGTGTTTGGCTCGAGCTGCGGTCAAGAAGAGGAAAATCCTCGTGCTCGATGAAGCCACTGCCAATGTCGATCCTGCCACAGATGCTTTGATACAAAAGACTATTAGGATTAACGTGAGTATCATCGATTTTTCTTTTTTCCTCGTCTTTTGAGCGTACAGGTAAAAAGAACAACATTTTTTAATCCTTTTCATGCAAAACTATCGTTCTTTGTAGTTCAAAAATTGTACCGTACTGACGATAGCCCACCGATTGAATACCATAATGGACAGTGATAAGGTTTTGGTGATGAATTACGGCGAAGCCGTGGAATTCGATCATCCACATCTTTTGCTTCAAAAAAATAATGGATACTTTGTTAAAATGGTACAACAAACTGGCAACACCATGGCCTCGCATCTTAAAAATGTTGCTGAAAAAGTTAGTCATATTATTTTATTTATCCTCGTAAATCCATAAAGTTTATTGTTGTACTAATTTAGCTTTTGTTTTTGATGTAGGCCTTCAAAAAACAAAATATTGATTCTGGTTCCGGAAACTATTCGCAATAGAAGATATAGTGTTATTCAGCTATTGTTTGATCGACAGCACTTGTGATGATGTAAATAACTTATTAAAAAAAAAAAAAAATAAATAAATAAATAAAACAATTTTATGATTGTAAATCACGTAAAAAGTATGTACATCTTTTTTTAATAATCAAGATTTGTTATTCGTTCAAATTTTATTTTATAAATAATTAAGAAACGTTCTTTTATTGTACGTCATTATTAAACGTTATTTTATATCATATTAATTTGTATGCAGCTATGTTTGTATATAAATCGTAGGATAGAAAAAAATAATAAAAATGTAAATAAATTGTAACTCGAACGTTATTCATCCTAGTAAAATTAAAATTAATCATACAAATTAATGTTTCTTAAAGACTATTTTTTTTTTAATGAAGTTTAATGCAGTATTAGACACAACTCCCGATGTTATCATCGCGTTTTACCACTTCAACTATTATTGCTTTATTATACCTGCTTTACCAGTTACACGTAAGAAAGATAGCTAAATCTTTACCTTTTTTTTTACAACAATGGGCTCTCAAAGAAGCATATTCTTGAATTAATTTTCAGTACAAAGGTTTCCACTCGCACAATCAATCAGATAATTTTCCTCTCTCGCAATACTTCACTGGTTCATATTTATTTACAACGTTTAATTTATCAGGTACACATAAAATTACTCAAATATTAAATAAAAAATTTTGTTATTCAAAGCATACAATTGTAATTAGAAATGTGCTTGTTTTTAATTTGACGCGCTTTCCAACGTTTTTGTAATCAAGATTCAAAATAGCTTTTTTTAGTGATCTTAAATTTCTTGATAAAAGATACCCTTATATGTTACAATTAAAATTTTACAATAAAATAATCACTCTTCTACGTGTACGTCTATGTTTTAGACATTAGTTAAGGTTTAGGATGCCTTAGACCACTGTCAGTCCAATAGGGCTATACTGAACGCGCGGAGTAGTGCTTAATCAGAAAATGACAAACAGCATGATCTATTTAATTACAAAAAAAATCATTAGTTGAATTCCTGTTTTTCCTCAATATATTTTTTTCTGTTTGCAACGTTTGCTACATTTGAAAAAAAAAAAAAAAAAAAAAAAATACATTTGATTTACAATCAATTCAATATTCTATCAACTTGAGTGCTCGGGGAGCTATTATCGTACATTTTGAAATACTACTTTATAATTTTATTGAAGACTAATATTTACATTTGAGCATTTATCTTTTTCGGTGAGAAACGCATGCTCCAATTTCAACTGAATGTAATTTTGTTTATTCAGCTAATACCTAAATCCACATTTGCGATATATTATCTTTACGTCAAAAGAGTTCTTGCACTTTTTAAGGCAACCAAAGTCAGTTGGTGCAAGACAACGTAACAAAATGTTGGTAGAAATCAGGCAAAACAGTGTCAAACTTAAAATGTTAAATGCGTTTGGGCTTAGCTGTTTGTAAAAAATAAGAAAAAAAAAAAAAACGTTCTCTACAAACCCACGGGTTTTTCTTTCATCAGAAGCGTACGCCAGTGTTGCTACACATTCTGTTGATGGGTGCCAAACTGTGCAAATACCTTCGCTCCTTACATAAGCAAACTCGCTCATAAAGAATGTTTCTTACGTTTTAATAGACTGCATATAATTCAACAAGAAGAATGAATATCGAGAAAAACTATAAAAAATCAGATCCTCGACTGCATGCCAATCTTCTGAGTAAAGTATTTTTCTGGTAAGTACGTAAAATTACACATATACATTTGTTACTATTGTGTATTGCAGTTTTTTATTTTTCACCTGTCAAAAACTATAATCCGTTTTATACACAATTTGGCAATATATTTTTCACGTCGATGATTCATCAAACTATTTCTGTCGTTATTATTATCTTCCTTTCTTTTCTGGTATCTATAATTGTACTCGTCTATTTATAACTCGAAGCCATGTGCTCAAACGCGAAGTTGAATAAGTTGCACCGTGCGATTTCAAACCAACATACTAAAGCAGATAAAAATCAAACGTATTTTTCATCTATTTTGTTTATATTAAGGTTGACGATGACATTGTTGAGCGTAGGTTGTTATTTTAATTATCGCAAGGATAAATATTTCACGTTATTGGCAGTTGGATAGTTCCTATATTTTCTTACGGACGCCGAAACGATTTGACACCACAAGATTTGCCGGACGTCTTCCCAAGAGATGCCAGTGAATCTCTCGGTGACCAATTGGAAAGTAATTGGAGAAAAGAAGTCACGAGAGCCTCGAAATGTCGGACGAAGCCTAGTTTCCAGAGAGCCATCATCGCCACTTTTGGATGGTCTTTTTCACAACTGGGGATCGTTACGTTCTTGTTGCTTGTTGTTATAAAGTTAGTTCATGAGTTAAAAAAAAAATTAAACTAATACACCAAATTACAGCGTTATTAATGCGGTGTTTATTTCGCACAGGCCGTCACAGATAATATCCTTGGGTCTTTTAATCGGGCACTTTGCTCCAAATGCCTCGTCATCCCCGAGCGACGCGTATTGTTACGCTACCATTGTTGTCGTGGCCACAATTTTGGATTCTTCGATATTTTGCCACACGCTGTACCAAGCCCGTCAATTGGGCATGCGACTGAGAATAGCAGCGTCCTCTTTGATATACAGAAAAGTACGTAATTACTTTGAGTGCAATTATTTCACGGCCAATACTCAATTTCCGGCGTCTCATTGCAGATGATACGGTTGTCTTGTGCATCGGCAAACGAGGCTTCGGGAGGATTAGTCATAAATTTATTGTCAAACGACGTAGCGAGGTTCGAATTGGTTTTGAATTTCCTCCATTACGTGTGGGTGACGCCGATTCAAATTTTAGTCATCGCTTACTTCATGTGGTGTAAAATGGGATTGACGTCTTTGATTGGGTTGCTGGCCATCATTTTACAAACGATTCCAATACAAGGTGAACAACATTGAACATATATATTTGTTTGGATAAGAACATTTTATTATGAAGGCGTGTTTTGTATGAATTTTAGTATACATTGGCAAACTCGTGCATGCCTTGCGCAAAAAGTTAACGGAAAAAATCGACCGAAGAGTTTTGCTGATCAATGAAATCATCAATGGGATTCGAGTTGTCAAAATGTACACTTGGGAGCCGTTTTTCGAAAAACTTTCATACCTTGCAAGAAGGTATGTTGAAGAAAAAGAAAAAAAAAAAAAAAAAAAACTCAGACATTTTGTAATATTTTGCCATCACAACTACAGGAGCGAAATCGATGTCTTGGTTGTCGTAAATCATCTAAAGGGCGCGGCTAGTGCATCTTTCTTCTACATCAATCGAACAAGTCTATTCATCACCATATTGGTTTATGCCCTGCAAGACGTCCCCTTATCTGCTGACAAAATTTTCATGCTGTTTCAATTTTATTCTACGATGCAGCACACAAAAGCCATTGCACTGCTCCAAGGCGTACACAGTTACGCCGAAACTACCGTTTCGGTCAACCGTATCCGGGTATCATACGTTATTTTCACGAAGATGCTTTTATCCTTGCGAGATTTTTATTTTTATAATGCCCTGTAGAGGTTCTTGCTGACCGATGAAGTACCACCAAAAAACAATTCTTTGAATGAAAATAACAGCGGTACCATCAGCGTTTCGCTGAGAACAGTCGATGCATCCTGGACGGAGGACCCCCCGTTGGACGTTTTGAGTGGCATTGATTTCGACATCCCGAGTACATCGATTTTCGCGATTACGGGATCTGTCGGCGCGGGAAAGGTAACCAATAGTCATATAAAAGCAACGCGACGTCTCAATGTCAAGAGGATGAAAAATATTCACTTACGATACGTGTACTTGCAAACACTTGTTTTAGAGCTCACTTTTTAAATTAATCCTAGGAGAGCTGCAACCTAGAAATGGCAAAGTTTCGGTTTGTGGAAGTTTATCGTACTCCAGTCAAGATCCGTGGCTCTTCGCCGCATCCGTCAAGGATAACATCCTCTTTGGCGAGTCTTACGACAAAGTCAAGTACAATCGGGTTATTCAAGCTTGTTGTTTGGCTGAGGATTTGAAACAGTTGTCGCATGGCGATAGTACCATAGTTGGCGACAAAGGCTCCTCCTTGAGCGGCGGACAATGTGCCAGGGTCAACTTAGCCAGGCAAGTTGTCGATTGTGCGTACAACCTTGGCGTTTTTATTGTGTTTTTTTTTTTTTAATTTTCTTAGCAAAATATACGTTTTATTGCAGAGCTGTTTACCGGGACGCCGACATTTATCTCCTAGACGATCCGTTCTCGGCGTTAGACGCTCGTGTCAATAAACTCCTGTTCGAAGATTGCATTGGAGGATACTTGAAAGATAAAACCCGTGTCATAGTGACTTATCAAGTGCAGTTTTTGGAAAAAGCAGACTCCATCATTTACTTGGATAAGGTTTGTGACCGACATTAATGTAACTGTGTGTGGGTTGATTAACTCTCATTTATGTGCTCAATCAATTTTATAGGGCAAAGTAGTATTTCGAGGTGATTTCAAGAGTTTCCAAAGATTTAGTAACGATGTCGAGGCTACGCTTAAAAGGGATTCATTGGAAAAATCTTCGGTAGACGAAGAAACTGTCATCAACGATGCAGACGCATCGGACGATATTATTTTTCAATCTGAAGAAAACGAGGAATCCAGTGCGGCTGAGGAGCTTTTGGCCAAAGGGAAAATGAAAAAAACCGTGTATTGGAAATATTTCAAGGCTTGTGGTTCTTATACTTTGCTTTTGTCGACGCTTGTTTGCTTCGTATTGGCTCAAGTGCTCATCAGTGGGAGTGATTATTGGCTAGCTTATTGGTAAGATTTACAGTTTAGAACTCGATGATGAGTTTTTACAAATATACGATGATTTCTTGCAGGACTGAAAAAAAGGAAACGATGAATTATGTGACGGATTTACAAAATAAAAATTACTCTCACACGAAAAGATCATGGGATGAGAATGATTCAACAGTAATACCATCGACAGTAGGGTTTTCAAAAAATTATGGTCTTCACTTGTACGGGATCCTGATTTTCGGGACTATAATAATGTCGACCACAAGAAATATCTTATTGTTTAAAATTTGCAGTAATTCCAGCTTTAACATTCACAATCGAATGATTACCAATGTGCTCAAAGCACCGATGAGCTTTTTCGATAAAAATCCCTCAGGTGAAGACAAACTAAAACATTTACATTCCACTAAAAAGTAAAAAACACCGAGTACATTTTTTTTTTTTTTTTTTTCAAACTTTAGGTCGAATCCTCAATCGTTTTTCAAAAGACTTGGGATCAGCAGATGAAGTCCTTGCGCAATCGATGATCGAATGTTTGCAAAGGTGTTTTCTCGTGGCTGGTATACTAGTACAAATACTGATCATCAACCTGTGGATGGTTTTTCCAATGAGCGTTATGCTGTTCTTACAGCTGAAAATGAAAAATGTTTACCTCGCGACTGCTCAGAAAGTCAAAAGATTGGAAGGCAATGGTACGTCAAACAACCCATCTTGTTACCTTTTTTTTTTTTTATGTCGATAACACAAAAGAGAGTTGTTTCATTGTTTCAGCAAAAAGTCCGCTTCTCTCGTTGGCCAATTCATCGCTGTCGGGCCTTTTGACAATCAGATCGTGTAGAGCAGAAAAAATAGTGTGCAAGCAATTCGACAACCAACAAGACAATCACACCCCGTCGTACTCTCTGGTGATATCCACCCTAACGTCTTTCGGGTACTGGGTTGATTTGATATCGATATGCTTCGTCTCTATAGTAACGTACAGTTTCATCGTTTTCGACAAAGAGGACACATCGGACGAGAAAGTTGGACTGGCAATCACGCAGATATTGGGTATCTGCGATACGTTGCAGTACGGCATGAAACTCGCCGGCGAAGTCGTATCGAACATGATAAGCGTCGAAAGGCTCTTTCAATTCACAAAGTTGGAACAAGAGGGGCCCGTGGAAAATGAACCGGGAAATGAGCCACCCAATGATTGGCCGTCAAAAGGAGATATCGTGTTTGACCATTTGTATCTCCGGTACGCCGACGATGTGGAGCCCACTTTGAAAAATCTCAATTTGAAAGTACGCTCTGGTACAAAGGTGAGTTGCATATACAGTTTATCGAAATTCACATGTACCAATTCCTCTCGTCAAAATGGTAAAATCAAATGTTCCTGAAGGTGGGAGTAGTTGGCCGTACAGGTGCGGGTAAGTCATCGTTGATTTCGGCTCTTTTCCATCTCGCCAAAGTGGAAGGTAAACTACGTGTCGACAACGTGGATGTAACTAAAATAAGCCTCCGCGCTTTGCGTGGGAGTATAAGCGTCATTCCGCAAGAGCCGTTTTTGTTTTCCATTTCGCTGAGGGATAATCTCGACCCTCTTCGAAAAACCGACGACGCCACGATTTGGGCGGCCTTGCAAGAGGTCAATTTGAAAACGATATTTGCGTCGCTCGATCAATTTGTCAATCAGAAAAATCTCAGTACCGGCGAGCGGCAGTTGCTTTGCCTGGCCCGGGCCATTTTGAAAAGAAGCAAAGTACTCGTACTTGACGAAGCTACTGCTAATATCGATCCCGACACCGACGCGCTCATACAAAAGGTCATCAGAAGAAACGTAAGTGTCACCATTTTTATTTAACATTTGCAGATTTATAATGGAAAAGGAAAAAAAAAACTTAACTAAATTTTAATACAATAAACTCGGTTTTTAGTTTAAAGATCGTACAGTTTTAACAATCGCACACAGACTCAACACGATCATGGATAGCGACAAGGTACTTGTGATGGATCAAGGCGAGGCTATTGAATTCGATCACCCTCATGTTTTGCTACAGAAAAGTGATACTTACTTCGCAAAAATGCTGTCTCAGTTGGACAGTGAAACTTGTAAACACTTGAAAAGCATTGCTTATAAGGTGAGTAATATTACGTACAGTGTAAATTGTAGATTACAATAATTGTAATGAACTATTTTCTTTTGTATTTTAGGCTTATAGAACGTTAGAAATGGTGAAGCGAAAAAATTGAATGCGTTAAAAAAGGTAAATCGGTTAGAAAGATGCTTTTTCATGCTTCTATTTATGTGTGTTTACGATTTATCAAATACAAGACAAGATTTTTTTAAATCTGTATTTATTAAGTGTAATAAAAATGTTTTGTTAATCTTTTTCCATACTTTCATTTGTTTGTGATTACAATAATTTATTTTATACAACTCACAAGTAACATGAAGCATTTATTTTGCAAACGTGCCATATCAAAATCGATAAATCTAAAAAAATATTATATTAAATCGCTTTTTGTATCTGTGTTATTTTACCAATTTGGCATTTTTTTTCTAAGTTTATACATTTGACAAAGTAGAGATCCAGACTTGGAAAACCTCAGGCCAAACGTTTACATGTCCAACTCTTTCGCAACAGCCGCCCCGCACAGACGGCATGTTTTTACATGAGATATAACTATCATATAGCTTAATACAATAGGCAGTATTATTATTTCTTCATCTTATAATTTATACAATAATTTACCATTCGATGTTCATTATTTTGAAATCAAAGACAATGAGAGAACCCGAGTTTGCGTCTTACATCAAGAGCCACGTATCTCAAAACTAATGTGACATGAAAATGTTTGATTATAAAATGCAAGCTGCGGTTTTACAACATCTTTCATTACCTGTGATTTCAACCCTATATTTGTTTATTTTTATTTTTTTATTTTTACAATCGATTGTTTTTATAAAAAAGATACTTTAGTCAATTAAACGAATAATATACATGTAAAAGAAACAGTTGACAACAATAGAAAAGACTGCACCGCATGCAGGGGAAACAATTAAGCCATGAAACTATCCTGTACCTTTGTTTTTTAAAATTAGAAAAATATTATATCCGAGAGAGAAAAATTTCCAAAATTTCACATTTACTCTTAGAATTCCGAATGGTCGCTCCGGCGAACAAAAAAAAATTCCCTATGTCATGCAGACCCTTCCATCGTTGGAGTAACGAGAGAGAGAGAGAAAAATGTATAACGCACAAAAAAAAATCGTCCAGCTCACCCATCAGCGTTGGGTGACTCCCGCAGTGAAAATTACTTACGGTCAGAAATTTTCACTGCGGGAAGAATCTTCTTATAACCCAACGCTGAGCTCACCGATCGAGCGAGCACGCGCGACCTCAAGCGGCAAAGCTCGGGATCCACGAGTGGACTCTGTGATGCCGACCGAGGGTACACCTGGGCGAGAGCAGAGCGAGGAACGCGAGTGCGGCACCAAGGAGCGACACGCCGCAGAGCGCACCCGCGGTCACGTCGTGCAGGGGGGTGCCGATCCTCGGTGACTTGGCAGACAGGAGAAAGAGCCCGGCGCACGTCACGACGCACAGACCCGCCAGACAAAGCCCCGTCCAGGTACGGCGCAAACTTCGACTCGCACCGGCCAGGGCGCAAAACGCCCCGCAACCCACCGCGCTGTCGTAATAGTACCTGAAACAAAAGCCCATCGTTCGAGTCTCCGCAGTTGATTTGACAAATCCGACTGAATTTCTTGTTCACACGTACCTTCGTTCCTGCGTCCAGGACAGATAAATGGCCAATCCGCAGGTAAGGATCCCAACCAGCATCAGTAGCACGGGGGCGTTTTTCCGGTCGAACTTGTCCGTGCTGCTGACCAGAGTCGTGTTCGCTTCGCTCACCGGTGGGGACAGAGGCGACACCTGGAAAGCAAAACCCCCGAAAAATCAATCCTCGAGTGGCTCGAGTTCTCCCCACGTACATATACATACTCGTATTATTCACCCTTACGCTATGGTATATAAAATCCCCCATACCCCCACTCCATCACCCATTATAATCGAACCAAACTCACTACCGCGGTGCGCGAGACGTAGGCGCCCCCATCGACGGCCTGGTGATAGAATCCGGCCTTCTTGTGCTCGACGTACATGGCCTCCTCGGCCGCGCTGTCGGGCGGATGGTACCTGGAGAGCTGTTGGGTGCTTGTTGCTTGGGGCGAGCGTCCGTAAGCTGCGGCCTGGCTGTCCTCGAGATGGCGCCTGAGCATCGATGACTGGGACGGGGCGATGAGGGGCTCGTTGAGGGGCAAGCAGCGTCGCGCGGACGGCGGCTCCTTGTTCGGGGTCGAGGTCGTCGGGCCTTTGCTGCGCGGCGACAGGGCTCGGCTCTGCGGCGTTGTGCTTTGCTGCTGTTGTGGATGCGGCTGGGATTGCTGGTGATGAGGCTGGGGACGCATCGGCGAGTTCATCGCTCGGTGACCTGAGGGGAGCGAGAGAGAAAGGAATGCGATGAGTGTACGCTATGTACGGTCGGCAGAAAGAGAGAGTTGCCGCCGTCGTTGCGTGGTATATACGCGGCTATTGTTTTGAGGAAGATTCCATTGCTTTGATGTTGCGTGGCGGGATGTATATATTTTTTTTTCTTTCTCCATACCATCGGTATGGAAAATTTTTTCGAAACGGGACGGGGTTTATCCAATTTGCACGTAATTCGAGCAAACGAAACAAAATTGCTGTCAAGACCGAGCGATCCGTACCCAAACAGAGAAAATCAGGGAAAAAAAAGAAAAAGAAAAAAAAAAAAAAGGAAAAAACTCACCAGCCGTGGAAGAAGGCGAGCACCCGGGAGTGAAACCCCCGCGATGGATCGGTGCGATGCCCTGCTGCTGGGGCGTCTTAATGGGGGAGAGGGCCTCGCTCTGGGAGCGTTTCCTCGGCTTCCTCGGCGTCGTCAGGATCTCGTGCAGCTTTTGGGTCGCCAGGGCGTTGTTACTACCGCCAATGCTGGCGATGCGCGGCTGTTGCCCGTCGTGGGACCCGCCGTTGCGCTCCGGTAAACTCGGCGGGTACTCCTCCTGCATCGGTATGCTCGTGTAACGACCTGTTTGAGAAAAGGACGGTCACTCGGCGTGTCTTTTCATTCGAAAAGGGAAGAAGATCTCGCCGGACGCTGTCACCAAGAAATCGTGGAACTCTTTTTTTTTTATTGCCAGCGTGATGGAAAAATCGGCCCCTTTTCGTGGTTTTTCGAACAAAGTGGGAGCTCACCGTTGGGCGTGTTGATTTGGCGCCTCTGCGGCACATCCCAGTCCCGAGCGTCGTCCTCGTTCCAGTGCGAAGGGTCGTTGACCTCGGCGTCGGGGGCGAGAGACGTGTAGTGGGTGTTGGCGCTCCTGTACGTCCTCGCCGCGGATCTGACCGGTGTCTGTTGCGAGGGTGGGGCCGGGCAGACCCTCTGCTGGACCTGCTGTTTCTCTATGTACTCGTACCTCGAGCTCGCGGTGGCCGCGGTCATCACGGCCGGTTGCTGGGGCTGGCATTGCACCTGGAGCTGGACGTCGTCCTGGATGTACTCGTAGCGGTTCGTGCGGTTGTAGGCGTAGGGGCGTCGGTCGGCACCCCCGAGGGGCAGCGAGCCGTAGCGCTTGTGCGACACGGTCGCCGACGAGGTGGAGGGCGGGGGCGGGGGTTGGTCAGCGCTCTCGTCGATGTAGCAGTACCGGTCGGCCGTCGTGTGGTTCAGGTTGGACACGGTGCGCCGGTGGTGGTGACCGGTGCTCAGCTCGGACTCGGGGCTACCGTGGAAGGCTTGGTTCACCTGCCCAAAATCCGATTGCTGGACTTCCGGAGGTGGCGGGAGCTCTTCCAGCTGGGGGTGACGGTTTCTTATTTTTCAAGTTTATTTTTCTCAAACCATGTTTTTTTATACCATACATGGACGGAAAACTAAAATCTTATCAGCAGCTCCACTGCAGTTACATCGTTAGGAATGTTTTGGGGTATTTAGCTAAGTACGAAAAAAAAGGAATAAATGTCATTCCGCGAACTGATGTCGTAGAAGAAGTCGGGTAATCCGAGCAATGATCGTTATCTTGAACGTTCCGAGAAACGTTCGGGTGGACGGACGTTGAAAACTTTTGTCCCATTGTAGCTGATAAGAGTGTCCTCGGATTTGTTGCGCGAGGTAACGACATTTTTACACACGTATAGTAGTATGTAATTATCTTAAGATGGAAAAAGTTTTTAACGAACGTGCATCCAAACATCGTTTAAGAACGTCGTGTTCGAATGAAGCGTTGTAGTTTATTTACTCAAACGTAAACGTTATACGAGTGAGCTGTCAATCATCGTATCGTGTTACATTTAGTGGACACGGAAACATTTTTTACGATGCACTTATGCGCCCCCTCGCGGTCCCACGTATACGTTTTAAAGGGCGTTAACGTACATTTTGAAAACACCTCCACAGTATTATACTTATATACCTGATGCAGCATTTTTTCGCCAAACTCTGGAAAAACCTTTCCGAGCCCGCAACCACGTCCGATAAAATAGTCGTTGCGCCGGTTTTCTCCTCCTACGCCCCCGCGCGCGCAACACAATGCCCAACGGCCTACCGGTGCGCAACAGGATATAATCCCATTGTCAAAGGAGCGCATACCTGAGATCTTTTCTTTAAAAAGTAAAAAAGGAAGGTACGGTGGAAAGGGAGCTCGGATTTTCTCTTTTCCCCCCCAACAGACCTGAAACTGCGGCGGTGGCGGCAAATCGCTGCTCCCGCTGTTGTTCCCCGGATCCTCGGGCAGGTACTCGGACTGCCTGCAAAAGGACGGGTTCGTGTAGCAGTGCGACTGGTCGCTGAACTCCTGGCGCCTGTTCCCCTGCAACGCGTCCCCGGCCTCCCTCATGTCGTTTCTTTGGTACATCATGCCTTGACTCTTTGATCCTACTTATTCACCCGCGCACTTTTGATTAAACAATTCCACTCGTATACACCACCACAGTTTGTCCTTCACATGTCGCTACTTGCGAATGAGGATGATCATGACGCTGCTGACGAAGGTCTCGCGCCAGGAGTGCTCCAAGGAGTAGGTGACGGACGCCGGGGTCGTCGTTGCTGCTGGATTATAGACGGGCAGGTGCTGGCAGTTGGGATCCTCGGTGTTCGGGGCTCCGTGCTTCTTGCACATCTTAACGACTGGTGTGGCTCGACACTGGGTTGTACATCGGTATCATATAGGTAATCGGATCGGTGATTTGGAATAAATCTACTTTTTTCTTTTTTTTTTTTTTTTTCTTTTCTTTTCAAACAAATCGGCAATGGACAGATATTTCCTGTTGGTGATTTTAGAAAGATGGAAACGGGTGCGATAAAAAAAAAAAAAAAATTAAACAGATACTTTTGACGACAGAGTTGTGAAAAAGGTGGCCCGATCGAGCCGCACCGGTGGTTTTCTCGTTACTGACCCCGTCGAGCGGCAACACCAGCGGCGGCGTCCCGGCAGATGTTTTCTGAAGCGTCGCTCCGATGCACGAGGGGAGCAACCGAGAGAGAAACAGAAAACACGTCAAGTTCCCTGCCCTTCTCTCAGTTTGCTCCGTGTGTGCGTGTGTGTGTGTGGGCCGACGTACACAGGATGCAGGCGAGCGAGAAAGTGAGAGGGAAAGAGCGAATTTACGCGCAATGAAAGAAGGAGGAGGTTTAAATGCTAGTGTATGCCCGCGCGGAGAGGTGATGGAACCACCGATACATAATGTACATATAGGTACGAGGGGGCTCTCTTACTTGCTTGCCATTGCGATTAATTTTTCGCACTAAGGTGTTTCCTTTAGCTTTTCTTCTTCTTTTCTTTTTTCTTTTTTTTTGTTTTAAATGAGCTAGGATTCCTCAACTACTTCGACTCGATTCGTATGATTTTCCATTTATCAAAATAAACTACATACTGTAAGTATATATAGGTGAGGATTGTTATGGATATACGCTTGGCTTAACGAGTCAATCAAATTGTCTAATCTCGCATGAAAAAGCGGGAAAAAACTTTAAATATACGCACCAAGTCATTTAAAAGCCAGAATGACAGTTGCGTTTGTACCAGCATCCATATGCACGTACCTACACGTGAGTATATATATATTATGTGCCCACATAAGGGGTGGTTGAAACGTAACGTCCCGAGCCCGGGAGTCTTTTGTGCATACGGTCATATAGGGGGGCTGTATAGTCAGGGGCCGTGGGTTAACGGTTTTTCGGGGTTCGCGCTTCTTCCGCGTCTGCAAGGAATGGGGGACTTGTGTTCACGGCAACCGTACGTATATACCGGTCTAGTATCTTTTTTTTTTTTTTTTTTGTTTTTCTTTCCAATTTGACAAGATCAGGTGGTTTGCATCAGGAAGCGAAACACATTAAGCTCCAAGGGGTTGTTTTCCCTTTTGCAGGAACGTTGCTTGGCAAAGGGTTCGATGATTATATTATATAGTCACGTTGATCGTCGTTATAAAAAAACATGCAGTCCCATCAATAATAATTTTATTTTATCTTTGATTGTGCAAAACATATAAAAATCAAATGTGACACGTTTAGTAGATATTTAACAGTCAACGTCCACGTTTTTTCTTGATTGCTTGAATTTAGAGAGCAAGCGATAAGTTTCTACGAACCAATGTATGAGTTAAGAAATGTTTTTTTTTTTTTTCCAGTATATGATCTTAAGTGAAAAACGGTGATACCCTCTCAAACGAAATAACGACCCACTGAAACCTCCAACGGAATTTTCAGGCCTCTCTGTATCTATAAGAAAACAACAGTTTACCCTCACCACACGTAGTTTCCTTTTAAAGAGCACAAAACGCTTGAAGACCATCATACGTGAGTTATATTATACGCAAGTCCAAGATAGACAGATATAGCGAGAGAGAGAGAGAGAGAGAGAGAGAAGGGGGGAGTACATATCTCGTCTCCTTGACTTTAGTATAACGAGCGCCTTGAACTCCTTGAACGGACTCTTTCATCCGTACCCGTCCTATGGGGTGGGTATAAAATTCCTCCGCACAGTGTACGCGATAGTGTAAGTACATATACGGACGGTAAGACCACGCAGCTTGCGTGTGTATATACATGGTACAGAGCTTGCATTGCATGTATATATGTTGTACAGGAGAGGAGGAAATAAGACAGCTGGCCACGTACGACCGTTGGCAGAGGCTTCTCCCCCTTTATACGTACACGTATATACGAGCAGTTTCACGAAAAAACAAATTTTCGATTTTATGGTTTAACAGGGTTGGTGGTTATAACGGGAGAGCCTGAATAGTTGTCTTGACTTTTTTCTTTAAGTTTGGAAAATTACGATACTCTGTAATTGTATGGTTTTCCAAGACTTTGGTCCTCTATCGAGTCCTTACTTCCTGGTGGGACAGCAATTTCAAGCCTTTGATAACTTTCACTTGGAAAATTGTGCATCTTACAAAATAGCGATTGACTATTTTTTTTTTTTTTTAGAAAAATTTTTAAAAGCAATAATTTTAATTTTTATAAGTGAGTCTAAAAAAAAAAGTAATAAAATTAAAAACTTTTATAAAAACGTATAAAGTTTCATTTATGACTTGATTGCGAGTTTTATCATGATCCTTGGAGCATGAAGGAAATAAATAAAAAATCATTTATCCAAAGATTATACGTATTAAAAAAAAAAAAAAAAAAACTTACCCAATGTGGAAGAATTTATCCAACAGGACTCTTTCGTGGAATCGCTCGTATACATATAGCTACTCTCAAACCTATACTTATACAGCTATACGAGGACATCTGCCCCCCTTCCCCATACCTACACATAATATCTATAGCCACATGTACATTTATTGGTATAAGAGCATGTGTATGTGCAAAACTCCTTATCCTCGATGCACACGCGCCGTTACAGAGAGGCAACGTCCTACTTATCTCTGGCAACGTATACACGCGCCTGGACATACCCCGAGAGAATGTCCTTTGTGCATGTAACCGTGCAACCGATGGCACGAGCGCGTGTGAGGCTTCTACATGGTTTTACATGCATATCCGATGATAATAAACGTGTATGGCGTAGTTGAGTAACTTGAATGGGGGGATATGTTTGATGTGTGCACAAGCCGTGTCTCATTCAGTGGTGGTTGAGGATTTTCGATATTTTCATATATTGTCTTTACAATCATTTTTTTTTTTTTTTATCCTCAGTCTAAAATTATTTTCCTTCGTTCAAATGTATTCAAGAGCTAACAACCAAGTACCTCTTATTGGTACATTTTAAATGTTAATTAAAAAAGCTCAAACTGTTCTTTTAAATTGTTGCACCTTAATGTTGGAATTAATTTTTTTTTTTCAGTAATTTTTTACTTTTATATCATTAATGAATTAGAAAACTAGTTTTGCTCATCGAAAATCAATTAACAAAAATCTATTTAAAAATCGTGGTATGTGATTGATCACAGAGTCAGACATGCCTTCTGTTCGAATTTTTAAATTAAAAATTTATCTGTCAATTATCAACAAGAAATAATCTTACATAAATTTCCGTGAATTATTTTACATAAATTGTACAACGATAAACGCTTTCTCATCATAAAAGGTATACATATGTTTGTAAAAACAGAAAGAAGAAGAGCTGAATGTCAGTATAAAAACAACTTTATTGTATTTTTGTTTACAGAATAAAGTAAATTTTTCGTCAATTTAACAACACATTTCAGCGCGTAACGGTACAATAGCGAAGGAAGAAAAGCAATTAAGCACACGTCGTCTCTCTCATACGTGCTCGATCAACGCTAAATTGTCTAAATACATATGCGACATACACACCACACTGCGAGAAATCGGTACTTTAAGCTGCATCGATAAAAAAACAAATTGAAATCGAGAATCGCATCGATAACGAGAAATTCGCCGTTCGATTTTTACATTTTTTTGATTTACATGCCGTTAATCCAAAAATTCTCTGGAATACGCGTATATAGAAAAATGCACTGCGCTCAAAGGTGCATAGGTGAAATCGTAGATTTTTTCGTGACGAAAAAAAAACTACAGTAAGAAAATCGAGGATGGCACGTAAGTAAGAAAACTGTTGTATGTACCCTCGGAAAAGCGATGACGGTGTTCTACTCTAAATGAAAAAAAGCCATGGCGTTTTTTAAGTTACTGACTGAATAGATACTACTATTATACTTCACAGGTACTTCTTTATATGCGTGTATTATCGTTAAAATTTTATACTCATACATGTACGCGCAAATAAATGATTTTTATTTTTCTCTTACAAAAACAAGAAAGCCACCATCTACTGGATTCATACACTCGTACACACATTAGTATTAAAAGAAAATTGTCTTCGATTAATTTATTTATGATTATTATTTATTTATTTATTTTTGTTTTTATTAGGAATCTATGTGAAACGTCAACAGTATACCAAACAATTAATCTGTGATGCTTAAAATTTTTTTTGTATTGTCCTTGGTCCAGTGGTGATTATTCAACGAGTGGCTATACAAAGATAGAGATTTTCAAAGCAATGCAAAAAAGCTATACTGGAAACCGTACACAGACCGTATGAGCCTCGTTTTACCATTACATGTGTTACATTTTAATCAATGGATTTTTTTCAATACTTTAAAGTCATTCATTATCAATTAGCACAATTTCGCGAGTGCGCTCGTGCGGTGTACTCATACGCTTTTTTTTTTATTCTCAATCCATACGTCATTCACGATCCATTTTTCAACTATCTAATTTTTCTCTGAATAATGATTTACTTTTACAATATCATATATGTATGCAAAAGTATTGTCCTTTTTTTTCTAGGCAATTTTCAATAGCACTAATTTTGTATACAATGTTATTAGTTGAAAAAATACCCAACTCGATAATATACAATATATGCCATTATATGCTCGGTAGTGTAGGCAAACATTAAAATGTGTATTCTTTTCTATACTTTACCTATAATATTACGCTACACAAAGGATTTTCTTACTAACTTCCGTCTCCTTCCATCTAAGAAATTTTGCATTATAGCACTGCATTGCGACACTGAAGATGTCTCGTATATCTCGAGTGAAATTACATGCTTCTTTTTTTTTTACTTATGTAATGTAACTTGAGTTTTTAGATAATTTTAAAGATTTTCCGTCGAAATTTTGCTTCTATTTTGAAAACGAGCCAACTCAATAATCATAAAATCACTAGTACAAGTTTTTACATGAAATGTGTTTCTTACTTCTAAAAAATAATAATACTTAACTAAAGCTAAGAGCGCGCAATAATATAATAGAATTTACGTAAAAAAGGCATTAGGAACAATAAAAAGATTTAAAAAAAAAAAAAAAAAAAAATGTACAATTATTATGTCATTAAAATGGCGATCGTTGGTTCAACGTATCGCGTAAACTACTTACAACTTATAATCAGACTTTCGAGTAAACCAGATTTACCAGTGGCAATAAAACTTGCACCAAAGACTTAAACATATTTGTACAAATAATCTAAAAAGTTTACTAGTAGCTCCCACACGCTTTATAAATAGCTCTCGTACTACAACTGACCTCGGCATGTAAAAATACCATCCAAGAGCGATTTGTCTATTACTGGAAGCTCTTGGGCGCTGTGCTTCTAAACATGTGCAAGGAAAAGTGTCATTGTTCTTTGAGCCTGTACATATTTGGGATTCGCAAAAAATTTTCAAGCACTGATTCAGTATACACCTTTAAAATGCGAATCTTTGGTATACGATCGTTTAAAATCACTGGATCCAATTCTACGTGGTCGAACGTTCAAAGTTACGAGAAAATGGTCTATCTACTGTGCGCTACGCAACTGGAGCACCAAAAAATTTTCACCTCCGCTATACATACAGAGCACCACAATACATTAGTACAAAAATAGATTTTCCTCCGTACTTGCGTCGTCAAACTCATATCAAAGTCGATTGCGAGAATTGGATTTCAATGTAAAAGAATCATAATGAACGAACCCGCGCATCGCACACTTGTTCCTCTCGTCAACTAAGTATTTCCCGATGAAACAAAAGTCACACTTGATGCCACTTGAAGGGACGAAACAAACGAAAGTGATTAAGTCCAATAACCCCCTATCGGTGGTAATCCATCGCTCGTCCAACACCTCAAACTTTGACGGGCCGAACGTCCTCGTGGAAACTGGACGATCTGAACTCCCCAAACTCCTCCTCCTCCTCCTCCTCCTCGTCTTCTTCTTTCGGCTCCTCCACCTCGACAGCCCCGTCAGCACCTCCGTAGGCCTCTTCCTCGCTCCGTTTTTCCGTTTCCTCGTCGTTGTTTTTCTCCTCGGGGGCGTAGGCAGCGCCCGAAGCCTCGTAATCATCGTACCGACTGTTTTCTCGAATCACCTCGTACTCGATGTCCGCTGCCGTGTGCAAGGCGTAAGACAAACTACCTGCCTCGTCGCAGTTGGACGAACAGCTCGAGTTTGACGGCAAATCCAGCAGGTCGATTGGCTGTTGTTGCTGCCGACGGGATCTCCTGCTGGACGGCCGCTTGTGCTGGGCCGGGAGGTAGCTCGTGCTCGCCTCCGACTGGCAACTCTCGTTTTTACCTACAACAATAAGGAGATGACAATGTGTTCCCTTGGTTGGTGGAAGTGGAGTCTTTGGGGCTACTTTGGCGATCGAATATATGTATATAAAGGGTTGCGAGATAATGCGTGTACCTTCTTTGTCGGTGGCCACGTCGTAGAGGCTGCTCTCGGGTCCGCAGCACGAGGACACGTCGCCAAAGTAAAGCTCGCTCTCGGATTGTTGCTTGGAGGTGGCGTTGGACTCCTGCTCCTGGAAGCCGGCGTTCTCCACGCCCTTAAGCAGCTTCTTGTGCTTGTTGGCGTTGTTGGCCCGCGCCACTCTGGCCTCGGCCGTGGTCTCCGTGTCCGTGTCGTTCGACACCATCGACAGGGGCTCGGCATTCTCGTAGTTGTTGCTGCTGCCCTGCCGCTTGATGTCCGAAGTTCTGCTGTTGTACTCGACTGTAAATGAGGAGAGGGAAAAATTGTTGATCGCATCGGTAGTATAAATATACGGATCGGCTCTTGGAAGGGAAAAAGCAAAAACAACATACCCTCTCTCATGGGAAAGCTGTCGATCCTCTTGGTGGCCCTGGGCCGGTGCTCGTTGGTTCGGTAGACGAACCTCCTGGCTGGGCTGTTGGGGTCGCTGTAGGGTGGCGGTGGACCCCAGAGGGGCACGGCGGCCTCGAGGACGCTGTACGGACCGGCACCCGCGTTCTGCCCGTAGTGGTGGTCCTCGTGGACGGCGGCCTGTAGGACCGAGTAGGGTCCGGCCGATTGGGTTGGGCCCAGGATGCCGTAGGGCACCATGCCGGCGTTGTCGAGTATGCCGTCGGCGGGGTGATGGTGGGTCGAGCCCGGTACGATGGCCGATCTGTTCGACTGGTCGAAGCCGTAGTTGGAGTCGGCGCTGGGTGCTGGTCCCCTGCTGCGCGACCATGGCAGACGCCAGCGTCTGGAGAATTTCAAGGGGAGGGGGGGGGATTATTTTAGGGCAGGTGTGTGTGTGTTTTCTTTTGACTTTGGGGCTGTGGTCCTTTTTTTCTTTGGCTTTTTTTGTGGGTCACGGGATAGAAAGCGTGCCAGGAACGTGGCATTGATTTTTCTCGGAGGATTTATACGGGTTTCCGAGAATAAGGGCTACTGGGGGTCTGACCTCTATTTTCTTTGTCCTTTTTCCTCTCGACGTGTCAATTTGTATTGCGCGCATGGCAATGTTTTTTTTTTTTTTTTTTTTCCTCTTTCGTTAGACAACGTGAGGTTGGGGGGAATATACATCTCACTGACGTGTTTCTTAATGAGTTGTGACAGAACGACTGTTGTGGAGTGTAAAATGTTGGCACGGAAAATATATTGACTGGAGAAAAAAAAAAGAGATTAGAGGAACCTATTCTCTCTTTTTTCAGTTTCTTGGGATTAATATCTTGGGCAATAAATTTTCGTTCGGTGATTCATAGCTCGTGGATTTTCAGCATCTCCCGTTCGAGACTCGGAATTCACTCGTCGCCTCGAATAACGATTCCAAATTTAGAACACCTCGCATCAGTGGTGGAAAAAAAAATCCGATCTCACCCCAAGTTTCTTAGCACGGGAAACCCAACACCGATTTGTCATTTTTTAACCTCAAATCTCGGAGAAAATTGAACGAAAAAAAAAAGAGACTTACCTCGCGGGCGTGAGATCCGGATTGGGCGTGTAGAGATTTCCAGGACTCTGCGCCCACCACGGCCCAATGCCGCCGCAGTCGTTGCAACAGCCACAGGTGCCGGCCGGTCTGCCGGTACCGACGAGTCCAGCAGCCGCCGCAGCGGCAGCAGCAGCGCCCTGCCCGTAGAGCGACCTACACCTCAGCTCCAACTGTTCCCAGTACATCTTTTTCTTCTCGTGGCGGTGCAATTGGTAGACCAGCATGCACGAGAATATGCAAGCCAGGATACCAGCCACCGAGACCCCGAACAGGGTTCGCAGGCAGGTGTAGAGGGCGCCGTGAACCACCTCGCAGTGAGGCGTGCCCTCGAAGAGGACGCCCTGGTCAGTGCCGTGGGACTGGGAGGCGCTGTAGCACGTGCACAGTCTGTGGACACGAGGGTTGTCGGGTGCTCTATTATTATTATTTTTGTTTTTTTCGGCTAACGATGAGGGATTGTGGTTTTTAAGGAAGCCCTGACGTTGCACATTTTCTTTTTCCAATGCAATTATTTCGCGTTAGAATTTGTAATATCGAAGCATGATTGGACATTTGTAGCAGGTGACTGACGGCGAAAACTTTTCGTCCGGTGATTCATTCCATTTTCAGCAGGACGGGGCAAGAGAGTGATTTTTCACGTCAAATGTCAAATATTAAGGCATCAGACGGTAGACGATGATGTGTGTCTCTTCTTTCCTTTTGGCTTTGTCCTTAAGATTTCAGGATAACGACGATGAGACGACACTCTGGCATATCCACGCGTGCGATTTTATGGATTTAAAAACACCGCAGACGGGACTCGAAGTGAAATTGTTTTCCGAAAAACACCACTCAAGGGTATATATTATATACAAGTGTATACACGATGAGCGAGATAAGGAAGATCGGTAGGCTCTCGGGGGATGCGGGGCCATCGTAAATTCATTAGGAGCTCCTCGGAGAGAGGTTATTTCCTTTTATTTCCTTTTACAGTTGGGTCTTGCGGGCAGTGGCTCTGTCAAAAATGATATACAACAGCCCCATATATAACTTTGCCCAACGAGAGCTTGTTACAGAGTCGGAGGAGTCATCGATTGGAAAGTTATTTTTACCGGTTGAAAATAAAAGTACATCGATACGTTGGTCCGGATGAAAGTTGGTGATAAACATTTTTACGATTCGTACGGGACGAAAATCATCTTTGAGGAACGAAAGGAAAACGTAATATGTATGGTAGCAGGGGCAGGGGGAAGGGTATCGTCTTACTTACTTTGCTCGGGTGGTGTAGACGCACTCGTGTAGACTCTGTAGCCTGGACATGTGTACCACAGTCGTGGTGACGGTTACCAGGACGCAGACCAGCGCGCAGACGGTGCTCACCGAGCCGCAGACCTTCATCTGCGAGTAGGAGTGAAACACGAGAGACGGCCACCGAAAAAAAAAAGAAACAAGAAAACAGAGTTGACGATTACCGAGTCTATATACATATATGTATAAGTGTATGTGTTAGGGGTATATTAAGAAAGTATCTATTTTAGAAACGTTGACTCTTGCTTCTGTCTTTTATACTTTTCTCTCCAACATTGGAGGACAGACGGAAGTGTATACTAACCAGAGAGCCGTAGCGGTGCTTCCTTCGTGCCAGCAGCATGGTGCAGAGCCCGATAAATATGAGCTGAAAATCGAGAATATACATATTATATGCGGGGACGTGTTTGCCGAGAGCGAGCAAGAGTGTACCCGCGATTATAAATAAGCTCGAGTGCATTATACGGAGACATATGTATACATGCGCCTCGGACGCCAAGTGTATTTAGTCGCGGTGTTTTTTTCCCCTCCCCCATTTTTTTGTGAGCTTTCGCCGAGTGGTTGCATTTGCTTCCTAAATAGAGTCGAGTCGAGGCGTCTCGTTTGTACGCGTCGAGGGAACGTGTCCCTCTCTAAATTGTGATGGATAATAAAATGATAAAAAAAAAAAAAGGGGGGGTGGAGCACTTACCATGGTGCCGGGTATGTAGGAGGGCACGGTCTCGAAGAGGGCCAGGCTGGCCGTGTTGGCCGACAGAACGGCGTGGACGAGGAGGAAGAGGCTCCCGACGGCGACGCTCAAGCCACCGCAGAGCCAGCACAGCACCACGTACTTCTTGCAGCACACCCTGTAACCCTCGCTGGCTACGTGACCTGAAAGCATATATATAGAGTTGCGAAAAATGAAAAACAACGAGGCTTGAATAACGCAAAGTGTCTCTCTCTCTCTCTCTCTCTTTTGTGTTTTCCCTCCTTTTTTTCTTATTGTGATAATAACTCCCCCGTGGTCTTTCCACTGGCAAGGAGTTTTCTCACCGTGCACCCTTTTTCTTCTTTCTCTCCCCCCCCCCTTTTCTCTGGGTCTTTTTTTTTTTTTTTTGTTACGGGGCATACGTCTCCTCGAGATGATTTCCAAAGTCTACCTCGTAAAAGAGCACTCGTGCAGGTTACGCGTAACGAGGAATGAAAACGTGATTCATAAATTTTACTCGAGAGTTCCCCTGCACAAAGTGAGCCACTTACCCGATAGGAATTCACGAAGCTATATAGCTCATGCTTGTGTGATTGATAATTGATGAGTTGGTAGTGGTTGAGTGCGCCCCCATGGGAAAACTAAAATTTACCGCGTTGATTTGTAGCGGATGCCCTTTGATGATGTTCAACGATCGTTTATGGCCAAAAAATAAATGGAAAAATTACGCGAGGCGCACACACCACGAGAATAGATTCCAATATGGCACTATTTACGATCAACTCGAGACATTTTATCTCAAAATCTATGGTGGATGCAGCCCACCTAGATTCAGAAAGTGATGTTACAGAGAAGCTATAAAATAAATCTTCTCGGCGCGTACATTTGTTTTTGTTCTCCCCGGGCTTGGCCCGTATCTCGTCCAGTGGGTCTCCGAGAGTTCCCGATCGTAAGCGTTATATATGTATTTATCCATTCGAGAACAATTCTGCGGTCATCCCCGAGAACTGCACATCCCCTTCGCACCCTAGCGTGTGCAGCGTCAGAAAAGCCCGTGTATATATACAGAGGGTGAACAATAGCTGGGGGAAGAAAAGCCGATCGGTGACAATGGCCGAGCGTATTACATGGCACACGGGAAAATCGAGACAAAAATGCCCACATGCACCCCGGACACCGCGTCGAATCCGTCCATACACCCTCTCAGTTTATATGCGAAGCTCAGACCCAGCGGGCGTCCCGAACAAAATAATAACAACCAATGAAAGGGAAGCACGGCTTTTTCCTTCGTTTCTCGCGCGCGCGCGTGTGTGTATAACCATTGTGCCGAGCCCCACTGGCTATACGTATATATATGTGTGTTTGTATTGTTTTTTTTTGCTTTCTTCTCCACCCCGCATGAAAATTCCTACACGCGTGGTCCTTCCTACCTTGTGATGCGCGTACAGCACATACACGGGTTATTGTGCTCCGCGTGGTCCCGAAAAACGCGCGACAAAGGAGAGGAGACACACGCGTGCGCCCAAATGGGAGCGAGAGCATTATATACACACGAGGAAACGGCCACTCGGCGAGAACGAAATTATTCTTCCTTTCGAGCGATTCGATCGCGCAGGTGATATACGAGACCTATGGCTTGGACGCTAGGGGCACGATGTTGCGAGGGGAAAAAGGAAAATCTCGTGCGTTGATTTTTCACCGCTACTATACGCTATGCCTGTACTTTTTAGAGGCAAAGTTTGATGCCGATTGTGCACGTGAGCCATTCGCTTTTCTCTTTCTCTCTTCACGTGCATGGGAAGAAGAAGAAGAAGAAGAAGAAGAAGAAGAAGAAGAAGAAAAAGATGAAGATGATGAAAGGGGGATGGGGGGAGATCGCAGGTGGCTTTCGGAGCGGCAAGTGTGGGAAAAACCTCGGGTCCTCAAAGATACACAGATGCGTATCCTTGTGGCTATATAATGCACGAACATATGTGAAGAAAAGAAAAGAAAAAAAAAAAAAAAAGAGAGAGAGGGAGGAAGGCACCCGGGCTTACGTCGTGCGCGTAGCGGGGCTTCTTCGGGGGCGTTCATCTCTTGTCTCCCGTCGGGGAATTTTTCATTCCGACCCATAGAAAACGAAAAAAAGGGAGGGAAGGGAAGCAAAAAAAAATCGACCTGCCATGGATTTTGGGCGAAACAGGAGGGTGTGGAGGATCACAGGTGACTTGCTTTTTCCTTTTTTCGACGAGGAAAAGGGAGAATAGGGATCGACCGGCTATCCCATCACACCCCCCCCCTTTTTTTTCTCATCTCTTGATTAAAATATACTCTCACTCGCTCCTCTTTTTTTTCCCCCATTCTTTGCGTTACGTATACACATGGATACACCCGTTATTGCATTCTCGCGTCTCAATGCTTCATATCCTTTTTTTTGTTTTTTTTTTTTTTTTTGTTTCTTTACACTACATTTATTGAATTTCATACACCGCGCACCTCGTCTACAGCGTACACAACGCGGATAATTAAATCACGAGATGAACGGGGGAGGGGGTCAGCGTAGCTCTTGAAAAAGGACGCGAACGAAGCGCTCTCAAACTCTCGAGCCGCAAGTAAAATCGCGCACATTGAGGCACTTGGGGAATAATAGAGAGCAATTACCGATGTGTACATAGGTATAGGTGCGGGAGGAAAAGTCGGGCTGTATCGTCATGCAGCGCTGCCGTGCGCGCACCCGAGCGAAAGAAACCGTGTCAAGACGCTATATGTATACATGTTGGTATAATTAACGAGGCATAGGATTTGTTTTTTTTTTTTCGCCTCTCCGCTCATTGCCGGAAAAAAGGGCCATTGGATGGGAAATGTTCCCCCGGCAACGAGAAGAAGCGCGCTGATGGACGGAAGGGAGCTTCCTTTGAAAAAAAAAAAAAAAAAAAGACATACCACACGGATGGTAGCACCTAGCGGCGACGCGGGCGTAGTGCAAAAAGCCGGCGTGGGCGGCAGCTGCCGCGTGATGGTGGTGAGCCGCAGCCGCGGCCGCGACAACCGCACTAGCTCCCGGTGGTGGTGGTTGGGGTGGTGGTCCAGTTCCCGGAGCCCCGAAGCTCGGATAACTCGGTGGCTGCACGTGATACGGCTCGATCATACTCCCCGGCGTGGCCCCGAACCGACAACGCATTATGTGGAAGATCGGCAGGCTACGCTCCATCTCGCCCATCATCTGGGCACCGCAGGCTCGCGAGGGCATCGGATCCTCTTTTTACTCCTTATCTACTCGGTACTCTATTCCTCCACCCCCCCCCCCTTACTTTGTCAGTACGACCCGACTCATCTTCTCTTTCTTGCCTCTGCCACGGATGCTGTGCACGTACAATATCACAACGTCGTGGCGCACTGTGTAAACAAATAAATGCACCACGCGCCAAAGACTGACTCCCCCGTCTACACATCCACCGCGGCGTCGATCCTCACTCGCGGACTACGAATAAGCACGACGGACAAAAACATGGCAGTTCCTCGTACAGCTGTAAACTGGGCTCGGGAAAGCCTTTCACTCACGCGGGAACATCGGAAGCTCGCGAGTAAGCTCAACCGAGATCCATACATGTATGTATTGTGTACACATGCACCGATGGTCAATACTTCACCCGGCCGCTGTCCTAGCAACAGAAAAAAAAGAAAACCCCTCTGCTGCTCTCCTTCGCCCCCAGGGGACTAAATTAACCCTGTGTCGAGGGTTCGCGTATCTGATGCTTCCGTCATCCCTCCATGGCCGTACGATATAACTGCAACGTAATTCACTCGCACAGCAACGACACCGCGCACTGCCTCCCTTCAAACATCGTTTGATCAACCACGGAAAAGTTTCCGTGGCGCAAGCGTGCACAGGTACGACGTACACGCGCGCACAGGTCGCCTAATGGTGGCTCATCATCCCCCTCTCGCTCATACCATATTATATGTATATGTGGGGTGGTCAATAACTGCGCGCGCGCACGAATTTTCCGCACCGCGGAGGGCGCAAAATCGGGAGCTTTATATACCCTTGGTTTCTATGCGCCAAAGCGTAGGAGGGGGGGGGAGGTGGGGTAAGGTGGCCAGCATCCGCTGTACCCGCAGTTGATATACATATACCCAAGGAACCTACGGCCTTGGAGGCAGGACGCGTGTACTGTACGTCGGTCGAGGATTATCGACCCTCTCCAACCAGCGGTACATACGTATATATACACGACGGGATTAGCGCGGTTGATTGTCGCTCGTTATTGGGGTACGTTGGGCTTCGTCACCTGCAACTCGTATGGCGATCTCTCACTTGGGTTGCAATGGGGTATATAGTACATATAGAACACCAATGGCACTTACGTTGGCCGCGACTCGTGGGGGAGGGTAGCTCGTACACGCGTCCGTTGGCGGTGGGCCTGGGCGGGGGCCTGGGCGGCAAAGCCGGCGGCTGACGGCCCAACGACGAGTCCCCGTGCTCGTCGGCGTCCCGCGAGTCCAGGTCGCGCTTGATCATCCCCAGGCCCTGGTGGCGCGACACCAGCTCGTCGTTCTGCTCGTGCAGCACGTGGCACTGGCACTTGCCTCCCTTAGACTCGGTCACCGATCCCTGCTACACCGGGATTCAATCGTTATACTTATCATATATAATTAAATAAATTTTGTATATCGATCGTGCTCGAGGGATGACAGAGTAAACGTACCTGCGTGTCGTCGCCCAGCAGGGAGATGCCCTTGAGCTTGTCGTTGCGCTCGAGGTGCGAGTACCGGTTGAGCCCGTCGAAGCTGGGCCTTGGGGCCTTGTCGTCGAGCTCGTCCCCGCTGGAGCGCAACAGCTGCGAGTGCCTCTGATAGTGGCCCCGGCAATTGTTGGCCACCGGTTCGAGGCAATTGTTACCGATGACGCGCCGACTGGGCACTATGTGGTAGTGGAGGTGGGCCAACGACGGGTCCCCGAACACGGCCCCGGGCAGGATCTCTTGGAGCTGCTCTTGGCTGATGATGGTCGAGCCGCCGCACAGGTTGATCGGGTGCAGGTGGGCCGGGGCGGCGTCGGGCTGTTGGCGTATCGCGTCCCCGAGGCTCATGGTGCTCTGGCCGATCTCGTAGTACTGGTTGCTCGGGCGCGCGTACGCCGGCTGCTGCGGCTGGGCCCCGCTGTCCCGGTTACTCGGGTGCATCCTCCTCTTCTTCCTCTTGTTTTTCCTCTTCACGCCTATCGCCTCGGGCGTCCGACTGACATCACCGGTGGACCTCTGCCCGCGAGGAAACGGACGTGATTAGTATGATGGCTTGTCGATTCGAAAAACCGATTCCCAAGGCATACGCGCGTCCCGTCCAATTAGAGCCGACGAGTCGTTGACTTGCTATAATGATTCAATTTCAACGTGTACGCCCCGACTCGTTGGCCCCGTGAAATCAAATTATCCAATGAAACGCCGCTCGTTCCCAGAAAATCTAATCATCCCATCTCGGCGCGCGCGTAGAAAGAGAGAGAAAGAGGTTCATGCATCCCCGTGGTATAAATTATTCAAAAGATCCCCTTTGTATACGTAAAATAAGAATCCCAGTAAGAAAGGGAGCGGGGGGGGGGGAAAGCCAAAAGTGTCACTTACCTCAGAGCGGTCCATCCATATTTATGTATGTGTATCCGGAAAAGCGTGGCCGCTGCAGCAGCTGCACCGGAGCCGAAAACAGCTCATTCGGACCAAAAGAGAGAGAGAGAGGCAGACGCTGCGGAGAGACGAGAAATAAAAGATCGAGAAAGAGAAAGCACGGCTCGTGTGTATACGCTCCGGGTGTATTGTATGTCTCGTCTCGCGCGTACGTGGGTATGTATATACACCGCGGCTATGATGCTGGATACAGAGCGGTTCCCTTCTTTTTTTTTTTCTTCTCACAGCTTTTTTTTTTTTTTTTTTTTCTTACGCTATCGTCTTGAATTTCACTCGCGTGCGCTTTTTCGATCCGCCGATCCTGGCTTCCCAGAAGCCCGATCTCGCAACAGTAATCGGTGTCCGATGAAAGGTGTAGCGTGAAACGACGAGATCGGTAACGGCACTACCGATCTCCCTGTTTTGCAGAGGACTATAATATCACGTAAGTGTATCACTCGTTCAACAGTAACAACTCGATTGCCCAGTGCACCAATAAGAGACGTCAGCTGCGAAAGTGCCGCTGGACCGACGCGAGTCCGACTGCCGACTAACGACCGACTGGTCCCTCGATCTCTTCTCACCGTATACACGAGCGGTCCTCCTTCGTCGGCAGCAGAGCGAGAGAGCGGCTCTATATGTACATCGGACCCTAACCCACACTCATGCACTTGTACGTGTATATGGAGGCTCCATTTCGGAATGCCGATCTCTCCCCCTCCTGATTTTCTCTCTCTCTCTCTCGCGCCAACTTATATTTATATGTATATACATAGAGGACAGAGCGGTTGGGCCCTCTGTGTGCGCACTGGTATATTATATACTCGGGCGGCGGGCGCTCGCGGTAAAAGGGCCTGAAAGAGAGAGAGAGAGAACCGTAAATTGCAGGGGGGGAGGAGAACGTATACACGTATATATACCCAAGTCGTAAAAGGACAGGGTGGAGGGAGAGATGGATATAATGCGTGACTGCGCCATGTTTTATACGGGTGTGTATTATACGAGTGTGTGGGTTTCTCCTTTTCGTATATATGTACGAGGTAGGTTTTTGTGTGTTTGCGGCAAAGGATACGTGCGGTTGTAGCTTATTGTATCCTTACACAATAAGTGTGCTTTTATTTTTCGCGGGCAACGGTGGATGAGTACACATGTGTCGGATGCAACGTACACTTCGGGACCACGGGGTCGCGTTTTAATTGTTTTAATTGCACCAATGGGGTCCTTTTTTTTTGTAAATTTTTAGTGACAGTAAAAGTAATGGAAAGTATTGTTTTTTTTTTTTTTTCCACCTTAGGTACGATACTTTGAACTGATTTTGGAAAAAAATTACTTACACGTTTTCTCAACACCTGAAAATGAAAAAAAAAAAAAAAAAAAAAGAAAAGAAAGGGAAAGGGAAAGGACTACACTTTGAGATCCAAAAGACGTAACGCTCACTTTCATCGCTATAAATATACACACAAATGGATGTGTGAATTGTTGTACACGTACTCGTATACGTGGGTGATGGGGACACAAGCGATGAGCCGTAAGCAAACGGGAAAACCGGCGCATGTATGCAAGCACATGAGAAAACTTGAGGCACACAGCATCTTATTTAGGCTCGGCCGCGTCCGTACACCGCCTCCCCTTCGTTCTGTTCAGCCTCATTTATCCTCTCCTCCACCCGCCCCTGGCTTAGAAATCTCTCGCATGGTCCAAGAATGAGGGCGCAGGGGCAGTTTCTTCCCGATTTTCGAGAGAAACAGGGGGGAGGGGAGGAAAAAAAAATAGTCCGTGGTTATAATAGATCGGCTGAGGGAGAGAAAAAAGGGGGCGGTGACACCCAGGGCTCCCTTTTTTTTTCTTTTTTTTTTTTTTTTTTTTTATCTAGGTATCGGCTTTTTTCTCTTTCTTGGGCGCGTACGTGTGCGTGCGTGTGCTTTTTGATTCTTAAGATGCGCGTCCTCTCCTTGCCTTTTTTTTCCTTTGAAAACACGTGTGTGTGCGCGCACTGGGTGATTTACGATTTTTCCCTTGGCTTTGGGAAATACGATTCGGCTCCCGAGCCCTTGGAACGATTACTTTTCGATTTTATTTTATTTTGTTCTCTTTTTTTTTCTGTGGGCGTCCCTGTGATCCTTTTTTCGAACAAGGAGAGGATTTTTCCAGTTGGATGGCAATTTGATGCTTGGACGGGATGACCGGGAAAAAAATTTTCACTTCCCAGCGCATGATTTCCTTCGAAGGGCTCAGGTGTGGAGTTTTGTGGGTTTTACGAAGGATGTTTCAATAATTCTCGTAGATCGGAGGGTCGTGATAAATTCATCAAGTCATATGATTCACCTATATATTTATCATTAAAAAAAATATATTTGTTTGCTGACACCCCAAGTAGAAAACATTATTTTTTCACCAGTATAAATTTACTGGTCTTACGTTTTAATTTTATAAATATTTTACACATCGTATGGTCTTTTGAAATGGTAGATTACAGAGCGACAATTAATGTTTTATAATTTAAACGATTACATAAAAATATTCTAAGTGAATCAATAAACAAATATAAATAAACAGCTCTAGAAAAAAGTAATTATTGGTTTTGTGTAATATTTTTCAAACAAAATAATGATTGGATCATGTTGATATGGATAATGATTTTGATGAATCGAAAATTTATAAAAATAATAGTAATAATAAGTTGAATGATAAATATAAAAAAAAAAATTTCAATTAAAAGTAATAGTTCTATAACAAATTTGAAAAATCAAAAATTGTGAAACAAGGAAATTGTTGACAGAGTCCTACAATATCTACTTTAAGGTCGAAGGTTTCATGTATATACTCTACTCGATCCAGTTCTCTCTATACCCACTGCTTCGATGGCTCGAACATCTCACTAAAGATGGAGCTGTAATGCACTTTTGCTGACGATTTGTGAGTAACATTTGAGTTTTGCCACAAGAACTTAATTTTTTTTATCGTCTCACACCTATCTCATGTTT